ATGGTGTTAGATCTTCCATTCCCGAGATGAGAAAAATGTGACTCTGAGGCAGCTGTTGTCTCTCCTGGGGTGGCTTGGCTGGTGGGTGACAGGCCAGTGTTTTAAACCAACCCAGGCTCCAGCCTTTGGGCCCTGACCCCACAGCTGTTGAATATTCAGTAGGCCCCTGCTGTTCTATATTCAAAGACCTTTGTTCATGGTTAATAATGGCTCTTTGTTGCTGCCAGCAGGAGGGTGGCCTCCATGCCAGGCTTAGACCCTTTTCCTTTTCAGGGGCCACACCCGCCCCACCCTCATATTAGCTTTAGTCATATCCTCAGGGTGTGCTGGGCAGGGAGGTAGAAGGGTGAGTGGGGCTCATAGACTGGCACATGGCGATTGGCAGAGCCCCAGGCGCGTGTCTGTGTGTCATCTGCAGTGGGACAGCTGCTCCATTGTGTCTGAACTTGTCCGTCTGAGAGAGGCAGAGATTACAGTGTCAGAACCAGACCTTGACTGGTCCCCGCCTGGTCCTGCCCCTGCCCATCCTCATCCAGTTGGTGCCTTCACGGAGCTCTGTGTGTGCCAGGCATCAACCTGGGAGCTTCTACCTGTGTGATCACCGTTAATGTTCATAAACAGGCTGTGTAGCGAGTCTTGACCTTAGCCTCGAAGCCTCCAGGTGACCTTTTTTTTTTGGTACCAAATTTCTATTTGAAGGAATGGTACAAAGAACTTAAGTGGATGTTTTGGTACAACTTATAGAAAAGGTAAAGGAAACCCCAATATGCATACACTGCCTTGGTGACCAGGGAAGTCACCCTGTGTCTATGGGGAAATTAGCCTGAAGGCTTAGCTTTCATTATCACTGTCTCCCAGGTGTGCTTGTCAAAGAGATATTCTGTCAAGCCAGACTGGGGTGCGCCCATCTTGCGCAAGTTGGTCACGTGGTCACCCAATTCTTTGATGGATTTCACCTGCTCATTCAGGTAATGCGTCTCAATGAAGTCACAAATGGGGGTCATGTTTGTCAGTGGCCAGTTTGTGCAGGTCCAGTAGTGACAGATTCACATTTTTTTCCACATGTAATGCACACTCCATCGCATTCAGCCCGCTCTCCCAGTCATCACCGTCTGGTTTCTTGATATCCTGGAGGATGCGGCCACCTGGTTGGGTCTGCAGCTTCATCAGTTTCTCAGCATGTTCCCTCTCCTCGTGAGATTGGTAAAGAAAGTACTTGGCAAAGTTCTTCAAAGCCACATCATTTCGGTCAAAGTAGTAAGACATGGACAGGTAAACATAGATGGCGTAGAGCTCCGGGTTGATCTGGCGATTGATGGCGGCCTCTGAATCCTGGTGGTGGTTCTGGCGTACCTGCGAAGGTGATGCGGTTGTCATGGCGGTGGCTAAGGAGAGGGGCAACTGAGGTGGCTGCGCAGCGCTGGAGAGGCGGGGGCCTTGGGGCGATCCGAGGACGCGGTGTGGAGGTGACGGAGGGCTGGTTTTGGGCGGCCGGCCGGGTTGGGGGTAGAGCGTCAGGTTCCCTCCAAGCACTGTTGAAGCAGGAAACCGCGGCGACTCTCGGCGAAGAACGTCTCTCTCTTTTTTTTTTTTTTTCCGAGATGGAGTTTGCTCTTGTTGCCAAGGCTGGAGTGCAATGGCGCCATCTCAGCTCACTGCAACCTCCGCCTCTCAGGTTCAAGTGATTCTCCTGCCTCAGCCTCCCCACTAACTGGGACTACAGGCATGCTCCACCACACCCGGCTAATTTTGTATTTTTAGTAGAGACAGGGTTTCTCCATTTTAGTCAGGCTGGTCTCGAACTCTCGACCCCAGGTAATCCCCACCTCCTTGGTCTCCCAAAGTGTTGGGATTACAGGCGTGAGCCACTGCACCCGGCCCAGGGTGACCTTTTCAAACTCGGTCAGAGCACAGCATCCCAAGGTCCTGCCACAGCCTACAAAGCCCGTCTTGGTCCAACCCCAGCCACTTCTCTGACTTCAGCGTTTCCATTCTCCCTGGCCTAAATGCCTATTGTTGCTCAACACTCTGCTCCAAATGTGCTGGCTTAAGCCGTGTTATTATTTCTGCTGATTCTGCGCGTCAGGGATGATGTAGGGCACCGGGGAGCCGGCTTCTGCCGCTGCTGCCTGTGATATCTGCTGGGGCTGGAGCACCCAAGATGGTCTCATCATGGCATGCCTGCTGAGGTTGTCCCAGGGTTTTTTTTTTTGAGATGAAGTATTGCTCTGTTGCTCAGGCTGGAGTGCAGTGGCACAATCTTGGCTCACTGCAACCTCTGCCTCCCAGGTTCAAGCTATTCTCCTGCTTCAGCCTCCCCAGCAGCTGGGATTATAGGCCTGTGCCTCCATGCTCAGCTGTTTTTTTTTTTTTTCCTATTTTTGATAGAGCTGGGGTTTCACCATGTTGGCCAGGCTGGTCTTGAACCCCTCACCTCAGATGATCCGCCTGTCTCAGCCTCCCAAAATGCTGGGATTACAGGCGTGAGCCACTGGGCCTGGCCATTCCAGGGGGTTGAAGACACAAGCCCAGGGCCTCGGTTCTTGCAGTCACCCGGGTTGTTGGTTCTTTTTATAGGCTTAGGGGCTCTTCCTCTCTACCTGGTTGTCCTGGATAGTTGGACTTCTCACCAGGCAGCCCTGGTCAAGAGCACAGAAGTTGCTACTGCAAGGCCGTCTTATGACTTGGGGCTGAAAATGGAAGAGCATTGCTTCCACTGAGTCCTTTGGCTAAAGTAAGCACAGGTTCAGTGCAGATTCAAGGAGGGGACCAGGCAGAGGGCCAGTGTGGCTCATTGGAGGCCACCAACGAAAGGGCCTACCAGGTTCCTGCTCATTCACTCTTTCTCCGGCCTGTCACACACACACGCCTGCCGCTGGGCCTTACCACTTATTGGTTCCCTCTGCCTGGGGTGCTTTTCCCCAAATATCCAGAGGTCTCACCCCTTCCTGCCATTCAGCCTCAGCTAAATGTCACCTTTAAAGAGCGATCAGGGCCAGGTGTAGTGGCTTACACCTGTAATCCCAGAACTTTGGGAGGCCAAGGTGGGTGGACCACAAGGTGAGGAGTTCGAGACTAGCCTGGCCAACATGATGAAACACCGTCTCTACTAAAGATACAAAAAATTAGCCAGGCATGGTGGTGCACACCTGTAATCCTGGTTACTCAGGAGGCTGAGGCAGGAGAATCGCTTGAACCTGGGAGGCAGAGTTTGCAGTGAGCCGAGATTGCACCACTGCACTCCAGCCTGAGTGACAGGGTAAGACTCTGTCTCAAAAAAAAAAAAGAGACCATACCTAAACCTACCTTATCAAAAACAGTGCACACCCGTATCACCTCTGACCCCGGACACTACTCTGCTCTTTTTTTTTTTTGTTGCACTTCTCACCTCCTGGCATAATATTTACTGTCTGTTTATTATTTGATATCCCTCTCCCCCATCTCAGAATATAATTGTCATGTGAGAAGGGCACGTGCCTCACTCATTGTAGTTCCCTTAGCTCCAGATATGACACATGGTAGATAGGGTTGTTAAATGAATATTTGAGATGAGGAAACTGAGGCTCAGAAAGGTTAAGTAACTTTCCCAAAGACACACAGCTAATAAGCGACAGAGTAGGGATTCAAACTCAAGCATTTAACATTGATCGTGAAGTCATAGAAGCTTTGCTGCATAGTGGTAATTGCTTACGTAATTATGGCTGCCTGCCCCCTCTTCTCCCTGAGTCCTGTCTGTCTCTACTTAGAGTGATCTTCCTGAAAGTAAAATCTGAAGGTAGCTCCCTCCCCTTCAGCAGAAAGCCCACCTGCCTTAGCCTGCTGCCAAGACACAGCAAAGCTTAGCTTCTAGAGGGTTTTGGAGTCAACCCCGGCTTTGTCTGCAGTGCGCCTAATCATCAGCTCTCTAAACACAAGCAAATTAGGAATGTCATTCATTCTGAGTGTCTGTGGTTAGCAGGGGGTCAAGCTGACTGAAGGCAGATCTGGAGTGGCCTCAGCTGGGGCAGTCATCCCACATAGTCTCATCTTCCCAGCAGGCTAGCGCAGGCTTCTTCTGGCTGGGCTCTGGAGAGGAGCAGAAGTCTGCAAGATCTCCTAAGGCTAGGCTTACAACTGGCCCAGCACCACTTCTGCTGTGTTCTGTTGGTCCAAGCAGATCAGGAGCCCAGCCCAGATCCCATGAGTATGTGTGAAGCTCTTTACACCATGCCTGACACACAGGAAATGCTGTTATTATTGTTGTTGATGTTGTTGCCATGAATTTGCATAGTACTTTATGCTTTTTTTTTTTTTTTTAGACTGAGTCTTGTTCTGTCAGTAGGCTGGAGTGCAGTGGCACAATCTCTGCTCACTGTAACCTCCGCCTCCCAGGTTCAAGTGATTCTCCTACCTCAGCCTCCCGAGTAGCTGGGACCACAGGCATGCGCCAGAATGTCCAGCTAATTTTTTGTATTTTAGAAGAGACGGGGTTTCACCATGTTGGCCAGCATGGTCTCAATCTCCCGACCTTGTGATCCACCTGCCTCGGCCTCCCAAAGTGCTGGGATTACAGGCATGAGCCACTGTGCCCAGCCCTTTATGCTTTTTAGAGTTTTATTGAATACATTACTATACCCTACACTGTGGGAGGAAGTTGGAGCAAATATTACTAGTTTGACAAATATTTGAGAAATATTTAAAATATCTAAAACTTTGGGCAAGTTTAGATAACTTTCCCAAGACTGCGCTTTTAGCTAGTGGCTGCAGCCAAACACTGGAAATCAGACAGCGTGCAATTTAAAGCATGTCTGCAAACATATCTGCAGAAAGTGAGCCCATCTGCAGATGATTTCATTGTCCTGAGCACCACTGTGGTACATGAAATAAAATCTAAATGCTATCGTCACTGACCCAGGCTAGTAACTATCTGCAAGGCTTAGTGATGATGTCCAAGATCCAAGTCTCCTGCTTGGCTTCTTAGCTCACTGGAGTGAATGATAGCTTTATTTTCTTTTACCTAGAGAACCTGTCTCTAGACTCCAGTTGCTTCTTCTCTCCACCTGTGAACTTCCTCCAAGAATTGCCAAGCTACCAATCCATTGCACGCAGGAGAACGGGCGTCCTTTCCCAGGACAAGCAAAGTGGCACTTTGCTAAAGTCAACCAACTCTTACAGCTCCCAGCTGAAGGACAGAATTGCTGCAAACCTCAGCAGCCAATCCATTCGAGAATATGCACTGAACATCTCTGAGAAGCGGAGACTAAGGTTTGTTCACTAGCTACCTGGAACCTGTATAGTGTATATTATGGGCCAGAGGTATGTTTTGTGCATGAAATGCATTTCTTGAAGAGCTCACATAATAGAAATTTTCTTCCTTAGGGTAAGCTAAGCCTCTTTGACAAAGATACCCAAACTCCTACTGCTTCACTTGACTAGCCTTAAAGAAAAATAAAATATATCCAAACATACTCAACATATTAGAAGTTTAATTTTTTTTTTTTTTTTTTTTTTTTTGAGATAGAGTCTTGCTTTGTCACCAGACTGGCGTGCAGTGATGCAAACTCGGCTCACTGCAACCTCTGCCTCCCAGGTTCAGGCAATTCTCCTGCCTCAGCCTCCTGAGTAGCTGGGACTACAGGTGCATGCCACCACACCCAGCTAATTTTTGTATTTTTAGTAGAGATGGGGTTTCACCATGTTGGCCAGGATGGTCTCGATCTCTTGACCTGGTGATCTGCCCACCCTGGCCTCCCAAAGTTCTGGGTTTACGGGCTTGAGCCACCGTGCCCGGCCTAGAAGTTTATTTCTTGCTAGCATAAAGTACTAGGTTCATGTCAGTGGGAAACTTTGCAGCCAGTCATTCAGGGACCCAGGCTCTTTCCATCTTGTGCCTCTGTATACCCTTAAAACCTCATTTTTGTCTGCAACCTAGCCATGCAAAAAGAAAGAGTATGGAGTATGAGTATACCACTTAGCTATACCCCACAACTCAGTAGCCTAATACACAGCTGAGTGGCTCGAGAATCCTTCTAGTTTCAGTTAGGCTGAATCTTTACTGATAGTCAGTTGTGGCTGGGGAGATGGCTCTGCTGATGTAAGCTGGGGGGTCAGCTTGCTCTAAGCTGGTCTAGGGTGGCTTCAGCTGGGATGATCACATGGTATCGTTAGGATAGCTCCAGTTTGTTTGCATGGCAACAGCTGGAGCCCAAGAGAAGATCAGAAGCCTACAAAACCTCCTGAGGCTAGGCTTAGAACTGGCTCAGCTTCCCTCCTACTGCAGGCTATGGTCTAACCAGATCACAATCCAGATTCAATGGGTGGGAAAAAATTCCTCCTGGTGATGGGAAGAGCTGCAAAGTCACATGGCTGTGGGACATTCCCACATTCATTGAGTAATTGGGAGTTTTGGGAGCGGGTTAAGAGCCAACTCTGAATGGTGCAAATGTCACTTTTCTTTACATGTCTACCAGAGAGAATTTAGTCACATGGTCATACCTAACTGCCAGGAAGGCTGGGAAGTGTGAATGGATTTGGGTGATAGCTTGCCATCTCCCCCATTCTTGAAGAATTTAAAACATGATTTTCCTATTGATCTGGTTTAATGACAGAGGTGGGTATTTCTGCTTAACTCTTTAATTGCCCCCCACCCACTGAGGGTCAGTAGCATAAATGCATTGGAAGGGTCTGGCAAAGTGGCTCATGCCTGTAATCACAGTACTTTAAGAGACTGAGGCAGGAGGATTGCTTGAGACCAGGAGTTCTAGACCAGCCTGGACAGTATAGCAAGACCCTGTCTTTACCAAAATAAATAAATAACAATAATAGAAAAATTAGCTGGGTGTGGTGTTGTGTGCCTGTAGTCCCAGCTACTCAGAATGCTGAGGCAGGTGTATCGCTCAAGCCCAGGAATTGGAGGCTGCAGTGAGCTGTGATTGTGCCGCTACACTCCAGCCCTGGCAAACACTAAGACCCTGACCTTGTCTCTACACACACAAAAAAATAATGAAACAAAGTAACACATCGGATGATACACTGTGCCTTGAAGTTTTGAGAATATGTTATCTTTGGTTTTCTTTTTAATTTAGGTGGTCTTGTATTCTCAAAAACATATTGAGACTTTATAACTGTATTTTAGCCACCACAGTGGCTCACACCTATAATCCCAGCACTTTGGGAGGCTGAGGCAGGTGGATCGCTTGAGCTCAGGAGCTCGTAACCAGTCTGGGCAACGTGCCAAAGTGCTGTTTCTACTAAAAATACAAAAATTAGCTGGGCATGGTGGTGCACTCCTGTAATCTCAGTTACTCAGGAGGCTGAGGTGGGAGGATCACCTGAGCCCAGGAGGTTGAGGCTGCAGTGAGCCGAGATAGTGCCCCTACACTTCAGTCTGGGCAATAGAGCATGACCCTGATTCAAAACAAAAAAAAGTGTATTTTATTGCTCCCTTTGGGAGCACATATACTAAAATTGGAATGATATAGAGAAAATTAGCATGGCCACTGAGCAAGAATGACACACAAATTCATGAAGTATTCAATATGTTAATTTATTTAAAAACAAAATAAATAATGTATTTTATTCCCCATTCTTTCAGATTCACAGATTTTGAATTTTTTTTTTTTTTTATTTGAGACAGAGTTTCACTCTTTTTACCCAGGCTGGCGTACAATGGCATGATCTCAGCTCACCACAATCTCTGCCTATTCTCCTCCCTCAGCCTCCCAAGTAGCTGGGATTACAGGCATGCACCACCACACCTGGCTAATTTTTGTAGTTTTAGTAAAGACGGGGTTTCTCTGTGTTGAGCAGGCTGGTCTCGAACTCCCAACCTCAGTTGATTTGCCCGCCTTGCCTCCCAAAGTGTTCAGATTGCAGGCGCGAGCCACTGCGCCTAGCTAGATTTTGAATTCTTATAACTACTACTGTTCTATACCAAACTGCCACACCTAAGAGAGAGAGATATTTTCTTCTATCAAGGGGCTTCCAGGCTCACTGAAAAAATGAAACTAACAGACTCACAAGAGCAGGACCCATGTCTACCTGGTTTACCAGTGAATCCCTAGAAAATGGCAAAGAAAAGGACACAGGAAGGATCATTCTTTTTTTGAGACAAAGTCTTGCTCTATTGCCCAGGTTAGAGTGCAGTGGCATGATCTCCATTCACTGCAACCTCTACCTCCCAGGTTGTTGCAATTCTCCTGCCTTAAGTAGCTGGGATTACAGGCACCGACCAGCACGCCCAGCTAATTTTTGTATTTTTAGTAGAGAAGGGGTTTCATCATGTTGGCCAGACTGGTCTCACACTCCCGACCTCAGGTGATCTGCCCACCTCGGCCTCCCAAAATGCTAGGATTACAGGCACACACCACTGCACCCAGCCAGGAAGGATAATTCTAATTGCTAATAGTTGTTATTCTTTATTTCCCTTAACCGTCGCTCCACCTTCTGAGGCAGGGTTTAAACATTATTATTATTATTTTGTTTATTTATTTAGAGACAGAGTCTCACTCTGTCGTCCAGGCTGAAATGCAGTGGTGCCATCTCGGCTCACTGCAACCTCTGTTCCCAGGTTTCAACGATTGTCCCACCTAAGCCTCCCAAGTAGCTGAGATTACAGGTGCCTGCCACCACGCCTGGCTAATTTTTTGTATTTTTAGTAGAGACAGGGTTTCACCATGTTGACCAGGCTGGTCTTGAATTCTTGACCTCAGGTGATTTGTCTGCCTCAGCCTCACAAAGTGCTGGGATTATAGGCATGAGCCACCGCACCCGGCTGGGAGGGTTTTTTCTTTAACCTTAGCACTCTTGCTTATTGACATTTGGGGCCAGATAGTTCTCTGTTGTGGAGGGCTGCCTATGGATATGGAGCAGCATCCCTGGCTTCTATCCACTAGAAGCCAGAAGTATATCCCCCTCTCCCAGTTGTGACAATCAAAGAGGTCCCCAGACATTGCCTGATGTTCCTTGGGGGTGTGCAAAATCGCCCCCACTTGAGAACCACTGATGTAAGGGTAGGTATTGTACTAACTCCAACTTACTGATGAGGAAACAGACACAGCACAGGAGGCTTGTTTGGGTGGAAGGTTCAAGTCCTTTATTTATTTATTTATTTTGAATTTTTTGAGGCAGAGTTTCATTCTTGTTGCCCAGGCTGGAGTGCAATGGCGCAATCTTGGCACACTGCAATCTCTGCCTCCTGCGTTCAAGCAATTCTCCTGCCTTGGCCTCCTGAGTAGCTGGGATTACAGGTGTGCTCCACCACACCTGGCTAATTTTGTATTTTTAGGAGAGATGGAGTTTCACCATGTTGGTCAGACTGACCTCAAACTCCGGACCTTGTGATCTTCCTGCCTCCGCCTTTCAAAGTGGTGGAATTATAGGCATGAGCCACCACACCTGGCCTTTCAAGTCCTTTTCTTTAATAGGAGCTCCCTGTCTGATGGAGGAAGGCAGACTGGTGGGAGGGTGGCGGTGTGTGCCATGTGCCATGAATGGCTGGCAAATTCCTTGAGTCTCCTCTCTCACCTTCAGGCCCCTCACCTTCTTTTTCCCCTGCTCTCTTTACTCCCTTACACCAACTTGGACTTGGGGTGCCTCCCCCAGGTTTCCAGAGCCCCGATCATATCCCCTTTTATAGCACTTCTGCCAGAGAGCTGTCGTTGTTGGATTTCAGCATGTTTGCCTTCCCTCTAGACTCGGGATCAGCTTTGTAGACCATGCAGTCTGTGTTGCAACTACTCAGCTCCGCTGTTGCAGATGATTCATAAATGAATGGGCATGGCTGTGTTCCAGGAATATTTATGGACACTGAAATTTGAATTTCATGTGATTTCCATGTGTCATAAAACATTATTTTTCTTTTGGCTTTTATTTTTATTATTAAAAATTTTTTTTTCTGATACAAAGTCTTGCTCTGTCACCCAGGTTGAAATGCAGTGACACCATCTTGGCTCACTGCAACCTCCGTCTCCTGGGTTCAAGTGATTCTCCTGCCTCAGCCTCCTGAATAGCTGGGATTACAGATGCCTGACACCACACCTGGCTAATTTCGTATTTTTAGTACAGATGGCGTTTCACCATATTGGCCAGGCTGGTTTTGAACTCCTGACCTCAGATGATCCACCTGCCTCGGCCTCCCAAAGTGCTGGGATTGCAGGCATGAGCCACTGTGTCGGGCTGAGATGCTGAGTCTTGATGCTGCTGCTGCTGTCATTGTCATGGTCATGTTTTCCATGCAGGGACATTCAGGAGACCCAAATGAAGTATCTCTCTGAGTGGGACCAGTGGAAGCGGTATAGCAGCAAGTCTTGGAAGAGGTTCCTAGAGAAGGCACGAGAGATGACGACGCACCTGGAGCTGTGGCGGGAGGACATTCGCAGCATTGAAGGTACTGCACCCCAGCATCTGTGCGCAGTCTCATCTGCAGAAGTTTCTGTGTCTGGGGGGCAAGTACAGCTTCGTTTCCACTAGGGTCTAACTGAAATTGAGCGTTTCCTTCCATGATGAATGTGAGCAACAAACCCCAGCTAGGTTTAGTAGAACCTGTGTTTTTGTAACCAGGAAAAAATTGTGATATTTTCCTGTCCCTTCCGGTTGTTGTATTTATTAATGTCCATGACTGCTTGGAAATTTCGGTAGTTATTAGACCTACCACTAGATCTTGTTATTTTATTTTATTTTTTGAGACAGAGTCTCGCTCTTCCGCCAGGTGCCAGGCTGGAGTGCAGGGGCGCAATCTTGGCTCACTGCAACCTCCGCATCCTGGCTTCAAGCAATTCTTCTGCCTCAGCCTCCTGAGTAGCTGGGTTTCTTTTGGCTTTTATTATTAAAAAAAATTTTTTTTGATACGAAGTCTCGCTCTGTCACCCAGGTTGGAGTGCAGTGGCACCATCTTGGCTCATTGCAACCTCCGTCTCCTGGGTTCAAGTGATTCTCCTGCTTCAGCTTCCCTAGTAGCTGGGATTACAGGTGCCTGCCACCATACCCAGTTAATTTTTGTATTTTCAGTAGAGACAGGGTTTCGCCATGTTGACCAGGCTGGTCTTGAACTCCTGGCTTCATGCTCGGCTTCCCAAAGTGCTGGGATTACAGGTGTGAGCCACCATGCCTGGCCTTCTTTTTTTTTTTTTGAGACAGAGTCTTGCTCTGTCACCCAGGCTGGAGTGTAGTGAAGTGATCTCAGCTCACTGCAGCCTGATCCCAGCTCACTGCAGGCATGCACTACCATGCCCAGCTAATTTTTGTATTTTAGTAGAGACGGGGTTTCATTATGTTGGCCAGGACGGTCTGGATCTCTTGACCTCGTGATCTGCCTGCCTTGGCCTTCCAAAGTGCTGGGATTACAGGCGTGAGCCACTACGCCCGGCCAGATCTTGTTATTTACTGCGCTAGTGAAGACCAGGTACAGTGGCTTACTCCTGTGATCCCAGCACTTTGAGAGGCAGAGTTGGGGGGATCACAAAGTCGGGAGTTCGAGACCAGCCTGGCCAACATGGTGAAATCCCATCTCTACTAAATATACAAAAATTAGCCGGGCATGGTAGTGCATGCCTGTAATCCCGGCTGTTAGGGAGACTGAGGCATGAGGATCACTTGAACCTGGAAGGAGGACATTGCAGTGAGCCGAGGAGCCAAGACTGCACTACTGCACTCCAGCTTGGGTGACAGAGCGAGCCTCTGTCTCAAAAAAAAGTGCCACTAAAGATGTTTGCAGATGTTCACTTATGTCTTTCTATCACACATATGTTTTTTAATAATATGATAACTGGACCGGGTGCCGTGGCTGCTGCCTGTAATCCCAGCACTTTGGGAGGCTAAGGTGGGTGGATCACCTGAAGTCGGGAGTTCAAGAGCAGCCTGACCAACATGGAGAAACCCTGTCTCTATTTAAAAAAAACAAAATTAGCCGGGTGTGGTGGTGCATGCCTCTAATCCCAGCTACTTGGGAGGCTGAGGCAGGAAAATCACTTGAACCTGGGTGGTAGAGGTTGCAGTGAGGAGAGATCATGCCATTGCACTCCAGAAAAAAGAAAAGGTAACTGTATCTCTATTTTTATTTTGTGCATATAAATTAAATGTATAAAATAGTATTATTTTAAAATATTATTAAATTGTAATATTTTAATATTATTAAAATGCCATTTTATGCTTTTGAAATAGTATGCATAAGTATATTATTTTTAAAATGTTATGCTTTTAATTTCAATGCATAAAATAAAAACAGACATACAGTTACCATATTATTAAAAACTATCCCAGCCAGGCAGTGGTTCATGCCTGTAATTTCAGCATTTTGGGTGACTGAGGAAAGATCATTTGAGCCCAGCAGTTTGAGATCAGCCTGGATAACAAAGACCTTGCCTCTACAAAAAAAGTTTTAAAAATTAGGCCGGGCGCGGTGGCTCAAGCCTGTAATCCCAGCACTTTGGGAGGCTGAGGCGGGTGGATCACGAGGTCAAGAGATCGAGACCATCCTGGTCTATATGGTGAAACCCCGTCTCTACTAAAAATACAAAAAATTAGCTGGGCATGGTGGTGCGTGCCTGTAATCCCAGCTACTCAGGAGGCTGAGGCAGGAGAATTGCCTGAACCCAGGAGGCGGAGGTTGCGGTGAGTGGAGATCGCGCCATTGTACTCCAGCCTGGGTAACAAGAGCAAAACTCCGTCTCAAAAAAAAAAATTAACTGGATGTGGTGGTATAGACCCATAGTCCCAGCTTCTGGGGAAGCTTAGGCAGGAGGATCACTTGAGCCCAGGAGTTTGAGGCTGCAGTAAGCTGTGATTGTGCCACTGCACTCTAGCCTGGGCAACAGAGAAGACCCTGTTTCAAAGCAAAAACATGAATAAACAAATAAAAAGCCTTATTATCCTGAGACGAGTCTCATCACTTTTATTTTATTTATTTATTTATTTATTTATTTATTTATTTTTGAGATGGAGTCTTGCTCTGTAGCCCAGGCTGGAGTGCAGTGGCACAATCCCAGCTCATTGTAACCTCTGCCTCCTGGGTCCCAGTTCAAGCAACTCTCCTATGTCAGCCTCCCAAGTAGCTGGGATTACAGGCACGAGCCACCATGCCCAGCTAATTTTTGTATTTTTTAATAGAGATGGGGGTTTCACCATGTTGGCCAGTCTGGTCTTGAACTCCTGACCTCATGATCTGCCTGCCTTGGCCTCCCAAAGTCCTGAGATTACAGGCGTGGAGGCTTATCACTTTCACCGAACTACAAAGAGTTCTCATGGCCCTGAAAACACTGTGAACCCCTACTTACCTATAGTGGTAAGAATTTGGGATTATGGATTGTTATTAGTTGGCAGGACTGCTGTAACAATATACCGCAGACTGGGTGGCTTAAAAAGCGGCTACTATTTTTCTCATGATTTTGGAGGCTTGAGCAAGCCTTCCTGCTGTGTGTTCACATAACCTTTGCTTTGAGTGTGCTCTGAGAAAGACTGCAAACTCTCTGGTGTCTCTTTTTATAAGGACACTAATCCCATCATGGGGCTCCACTCTCAAGCCCTCATTGAAACCTAATCACTTCCCAAAAGCTCATCTCCAAATATCATTACACTGGGGTTAGGGCTTCACCATATGAATTTGAGGGTGAGGACACAATTTGGTCCTTAGCAAGTATGCAAAAATTGGAATTTGTGCCAAAATACAAAATTAGCCAGGCACGGTGGCTCATGCCTGCTGTAATCCTAGCACTTTGGGAAGCTGAGGCAGGAGGATCCCTTGAGCTCAGGAGTTCGAGACCAGCCTGGGCAACATAATAAGATCCTGTCTCTATTTAATCTAAAAATAAAAATGCAAATAAAAAAAATACAAAATTGGAACCATTGAACTTTTTTTTTGGATTATCTATTTTATTTTTTGAGACAAAATTTTGCTCTTGTTACCCAGGCTGGAGTGCAATGGCACGGTCTCAGCTCACTGCAACCTCCACCTCCCAGGTTCAAGCGATTTTCCCGCCTCAGCCTCCCAAGCAGCTGGGACCACGGGCGTGTGCCACACACCCAGCTAATTTTTGTATTTTTAGTAGAGACGGGGTTTCACCATGTTGGCCAGGCTGGTCTTGAATTCCTGACCTCAGGTGATCTGCCTACCTTGGCCTCCCAAAGTGCTAGGATTACAGGTGTGAGCCACCACATCTGGCCAGGATTATCTATTATAAAGCAAAACATTTTTCAAACATCTCCCCAAAACTGCTAATATGAAAACTTTGTGAAATTTGTAAGGAATATGGTAGTATGAATAAAGGAAATGGTTTTCTCCATTATTACTATTTTAAGACCTGTAAAATACAATTGGTAATTTATCCAATCAACTACCTTTTTACTGTTGTTTTATTTGGAGAATATAACATATTTCTTTCTTTCTTTTTTTGACGGAATTTCACTCTTGTTGCCCAGGCTGGAGTGCAATGGCGGGATCTGGGCTCACCACAATCTCTGCCTCCCGGGTTCAAGCTATTCTTCTGACTCAGTTTCTCTAGTAGCTGGTATTACAGGCACCCACCACCGCACCCAGCTAAATTTTTGTATTTTTAGTAGGGACGGGGTTTCATTATGTTGGCCAGGCTAGTCTTGAACTCCTGTACTCAGGTGATCCACCTGCCTCAGCCTCCCAAAATGCTGGGATCACAGGTGTGAGCCACCATACCCGTCTGAATAGAGCGTATTTCTTTCTTTCTTTCTTTTATTTTTTTTTTGAGATGGAGTTTCGCTGTTGTTACCCAGACTGGAGTGCAATGGCACTATCTCGGCTCACCGCAACCTCTGCCTTCTGTGTTCAAGCAATTCTCCTGCCTCAGCCTCCTGAGTAGCTGGGATTATAGGCACGTGCCACCATGCCCAGCTAATTTTTGTATTTTTAGTAGAGGCGGGGTTTCACCTTGTTGATCAGGATGGTCTCGATCTCTTGACCTCGTGATCCACCCGCCTCAGCCTCCCAAAGTGCTGGGATTATAGACGTGCGCCACCACGCCCGGCCCTAGAGCATATTTCATATGAAAGGCTTCATGGCTCACTTAAAACTTCAGCCGTGCACTCATACTTTTTCTCTTGAGATTCAAGTGTAACATTATATTTGGAGTAAAATCATAAAAGCTAACTTTTATTGAGCATTTATTATGAACCAGGCATTTGGTTAAGCATTTTACACATCGCCTCAGTTAATCTTCAAAAGAACCTTCCACTTAGGTACTTGTCATTTGCGTGGCTCAGAGAGTTTAAAAGATCTTATCCAAGTTCACTTAGCCAGGGTGAGGCAGAGTGAACCCAGGCATTCAAGATTTAGAGTCCAGGGTTTTAGCCAGTATGTCTAGCTCCCTCTCTTGCGAAATGGTAGGCTTTCTGGAGATTTTCATTTGGGAAGTGGCTTGTGTGGTAGAGGGGTATGTTCTTCCTGGGAACTGGGATTTTGATTTCCTCTTCAGTGACTCTACGCTGTGATTTCTTAGCTGGGTAGGTGCTCATCTGACACATGGATTGTCACAGGTATGTTAGTTACATTTCTCGCCTCTGGCAGATTGCTAAGTATTAGAGAGTGGTAAAAAACTGTGGGTGTCTTATATCTTTGGTCTCCAGTGATAAGTTTGTTGCTTCTACCAAGAACAAGAAGCCATCCTTGCTCTTCAGAATGCTCTCTGTCCTCAGCAATTTAATCATTATCTATTTGCAAATCAATCGATGCAATTCACCACAAAACAGAATAAAAGAAAAAAATTAAGACCATCCTGGTCAACATGGTGAAACCCCATCTTTACTAAAAATACAAAAAATTAGCTGGGCATGGTGGCACGTGCCTGTAATCCCAGCTACTCGGGATGCTGAGGCAGGAGAATTGCCTGAACCCAGGAGGCGGAGGTTGCGGTGAGCCGAGATTGCGCCATTGCATTCCAGCCTGGGTAACAAGAGCGAAACTCCGTCTCAAAAAAAGAAAAAAATTATATGATCATCCCAACAGATGCAGAGAAAGCACTGATGAACTTCAGTTCTTATTTTTAGCAAATAAGAAATAAATATGACCTTTCTTAATTTTGATTTTAAAAACCTATAAACATTATACAGCCAACAATATAGTTTATTTTTGAGATGGAGTCTCACTGTTGTCCAGGCTGGAGTGCAGTGGCATGATCTCGGCTCACTGTAACCTTCAATTCTCGGGTTCAAGTGATTCTCCTGCCTCAGCCTCCCGAGTAGCTGGTACTACAGGTGCATGCCACCATGCCCGGCTAATTTTTGAATTTTAGTAGAAATGAGATTTCACCATACTGGTCAGGCTGGTCTTGAACTCCTGACCTCAGGTAATCCACCTGCCTTGGCCTCCCAAAGTGCTGGAATTACAGGCATGAGCCACCTCTCCCAGCCTACATACTTAATGATGAAACATTGAAAGCTTTTTCCCTAAGACGGAGAATGAGACAGAGGTGCTGATTATCACAGATTCTATTCAAAATCATCCTGGAAGTTCTAGCCAGTGTAGTAGGATGGGCAGGGGGAAGGGAAATAATTGGAAAGGAAGAAAAAAATGTTATTTTTTTTTTTTTGCAGATGACAATGATATGCGTGTAGATAATTAAAAAGACAATTGTTAGAATTAATGTTAATTTAACAAGATTTATTGTTAATTTAAAAATGTCTCTATATAAAATGAATTGTATTTTTATATACCAACCACAAACATTTAGAAAGAGAAACTTTTAAAATGATACAATGTACAATAGTATCAAAAATGTCAGGGCCAGGCATGGTGGTTACACCTGTAATTCCAGCACCTTGAGAGGCTGAGGCAGGTGGATCACCTGAGGTCAGAAGTTCGAGACTAGCTTGGCTAACATGGTGAAACCCTGTCTCTACTAAAAATATAAAAATTAGCCAAGCATGGTGGCTCATGCCTACAGTCCCAACTATTCAGGAAGCTGAGGCACAAGAATTGCTTGAATCCAGGTGGTGGAGGTTGCATTGAGTTGAGAGCAAGCCGCTGCACTTCAGGCTGGGCAACAGAGTGAGACTCGGCCTCAAAAAAAAAAAAAAGTCAGATATCTAGGACTGTATCTAAAGAGTCATATGCAATAATTATGCACCGAAAACTATAAAGTATTATTAAGAAAAACCAAGGAAGACCTAAATATACCATGTTCATGGATCAGAAGACTTAATATTATAAATATGTCACTTCTTTTCAAATTGACCTGTATATTTTATGTAATCCCAATGAGAATCTTAGCAGATTGTGTGTGAAAATTAGGGCACTAATTCTAACATTTGTATATAAATGCAAAAGACCAAAGATATCTAAGACAATCTTGAGAAATAACAAAGCTGAAACATATATAATACCATCTATGAAGCCTTACAAATCTGCAATAATTAAGACAGTATTGGTATAAGGATAGACATGTAGACCCATGCAACAAGATAGAATTCAGAAACAGATTCATACGTATATGGTCAAATGATTATTTCCAAAAAAGGCAGCCAATAAATGGTGCTGAGTCGACTAGACACAAGAAAAGATAAATACTGAGCTCTCCCTCATACCATTCTTAAGTGATTAATTCACAATTGATTGTAGATCTATATGTGAAAAGTTAAACACTACAAGATTGAGTCTTAAAGCTAACAATTAAAAAAATAAAATAAAATGTTTCTTCCTCCTTCTAGCTACTGATTCCTCCAGCTTCAGCTTTTATGGCTGATTGAATCTATGATGTGTAGTGTGTCGATACCCCTGGTCAGTGATGTCTGGGTTTGTTTTTTCCAGGGAAATTTGGCACTGGGATTCAGTCCTATTTCTCCTTCTTGAGATTCCTGGTGTTGCTGAATTTGATAATATTTCTGATCATCTTCATGCTGGTTTTGCTCCCAGTCTTACTCACAAAATACAAGATCACCAACAGCAGCTTCGTGCTCATACCTTTCAAAGACACAGGTGAGTCTAAGGCCTGGTTTACTATGAAGTGTGTTTGTTTTTCACCATGTATCTTGCTACAGTGCTTCCTTTTTTTTTGAGACAGAGTCTCACTCTGTTGTCCAGGCTGGAGTGCAGTGGTGCAATCTCAGTTCACTGCAACCTCTGCTGCCCGTGTTCAAGTGATTCTCTTGCCTCAGACTCTTGAGTAGCTGGGATTACAGGAGCCTGCCACAGCACCTAATTTTTGTAGTTTTAGTAGAGATGGGGTTTCACTGTCTTGGCCAGGTTGGTCTTGAACTTCTGATTTCATGATCCACCCGCCTTGGCCTTCCAAAGTGCTGGGATTACAGGCAGGAGCAACTGCTCCCAGCTAAGAACCTTTATTATAATTCTCAGGTGATTGTATTAGTCAGGAAGGTCTAGGTTATGCTGCAGAAACAAGTGACCCCAAGACACTCATGCTGCCATGAAATAACAGCATGAGAGCGCAACTGCATGTTAGTATGAGACTGTGAGTGTGAAATAACCACAAAGGTTTATTTCTTTGATAGCATTGATAGTCACATGTGCAAGCAAAAACAGGTTCTATATGCGGACTCACATACAAAAGAAATCAAAAGCCATATTCCCAGATGTTTGGGGAGAATAGTGAAGGAAACATTAGAACTAGAAAGAGTAAGAAATGTTACTGTATTGGACACATTGGGGTTTGGACTGAAAATGGCAAAAAACAAATACACAAACATATCTATGTGCAAACATGCAAATATATGACATTTCTTTTTTTTTTTTTTTTTTTTTTTTTGGTGCTGTGACTCAGATTCGAACCAAGGTTGCTTCGGCCACAACAATATATGACATTTCTAAATGTAATATACATATACAGTCACGTACCACATAACAATGTTTCAGTCAACAATGGACCACATCTGCAGCACTGGTCCCCTAAGATTATAATAGTGGATTTTTACTGTACATTTTCTTTGTTTAGATATGTTTAGATATACGAATACTTAACATTGTGTTGCAGTTACCTACAGTATTCAGTGCAGTAATGTGCTGTCCAGGTTTGTAACCTAGGAACAATCGGCCATACCATACAGTCTAGGTGTGTAGTAGGCTATCCCATCTAGGTTTGTGTAAGTACACTCCATGATGTTTGCATGATGAACTCACCTAAGGACGTATTTATCAGACTATATCCTCCTCGTTAAGCAATGCTTGACTGTACATGCTTATATGCACAAATTGTAAAAAACAGGCAGGTTATGGCCAGGCACGGTGGGTCATACCTGTAATCCCAACACTTTGGGAGGCAGAGGTGGGCAGATCACCTGAGGTCAGGAGATCAAGACCAGCCTGGCCAACATCACGAAACCTAGTCTGTACTAAAAATACAAAAATGAGCCAGGAGTAGTGGCAGGCACCTGTAATCCCAGCTACTTAGGAGGTTGAGGCAGGAGAATTGCTTGAACCCAGGAGTGGGAGGCTTCAGTGAGCCGAGATCAAGCCATTGCACTCCAGCCTGGGCAAGAGAGTGAGACTCCATCTCAAAGTAAATAAATAAATGAATAAAGTAAAAAACAGGCAGGTTATAGAGACTAAAACTATTTCCACTGACATTCTGTCTTTTGTTTCTTACAGATATTCAATGTACATTCTATCCAGTAAGCAGCTCTGGACTCGTTTACTTTTACAGTTATATCATAGACTTGCTTTCTGGCACTGTAAGTATTTAACATTATCCTTTGTTTAGCTCCTCAATCTACTAAAAATTGATTTAAAGATCTGTTTCCTGAATTTCTGCAGTGAGAGCCAAACACAAGTGTTGGTTGACACATTTACCAGTAAATAAAACAGGATTTGCAGTAACCTTATGGGAAAGGATAGTGTTCATCATTGCCTTCTAGAATGACAGAGAATACACTTGGTCACTTTCAGCCATTGGCCTTTTTCTAGTCTTTCTTTTTACTTATTTATTCATTTTGAGACAGAGTCTTGCTCTGTTGCCCAGGCTGGAGTGCAGTGCTGCAGTCTCGGCTCACTGCAACCTCTGCCTTCCGTGTTCAAGTGGTTCTCCTGTCTCAGCCTTCCAAGTCGCTGGAATTACAGGTATGAGCCACCATGCCCAACTAATTTTTGTATTTTTTAAAAAATTTTTTATTGGATTTCAGGTTTTGGGGTACATGAGCAGAGCATGCAAGACAGTTGCGTAGGTACACACATGGCAGTGTGCTTTGCTTTCCTTTTCCCCTTCACCCATGTTTGGTATTTCTCCCCAGGCTATCCCTCCCCACCTCCCCCTCCCACTGGCCCTCCCCTTTTCCCCCCAATAGACCCCAGTGTTTAGTATTCCCCTTTCTGTGTCCATGTGTTCTCATTTTTCATCACCCACCTATGAGTGAGAATATGCGGTGTTTCAATTTCTGTTCTTGTGTCAGTTTGCTGAGGATGATGTTCTCCAGATTCATCCATGTCCCTACAAACGACACAAACTCATCATTTCTGATTGCTGCATAATATTCCATGGTGTATATGTGCCACAATTTTTGTATTTTTAATAGAGATGGGGTTTTACTATGTTGACCAGACTGGTCTTGACTTCCTGACCTCTGGTGATCCGCCCACCTCAGCCTCCCAAAGTGCTGGGATTACAGGTGTGAGCCACCATGCCCAGCCCTTTTTTTAAAAACAGAGTCTCACCGGGCACGGTGGCTCACGCTTGTATTCCCAGCACTTTGGGAGGCCGAGGTGGGTGGATCACAAGGTGAAGAGATCGAGACCATCCTGGTCAACAAGGTGAAACCCCGTCTCTACTAAAAATACAAAAATTAGCTGGTCATGGTGGTGCGCGCCTGTAGTCCCAGCTACTCGGGAGGCTGAGGCAGGAGAATTGCTTGAACCCAAGAGGCGGAGGTTGCGGTGAACCAGGATTGCGCCATTGCACTCAAGCCTGGGTAACAACAGCAAAACTCTGTCTCAAAAAAAAAAACAACAGAAAAACAGAGTCTCACTCTTTCCCCCAGGCTGGAGTGCAGTGCTGCAGTCTTGGGTCACTGCAACCTCTGCCTCCTGGGTTGAAGCAATTCTCATGCCCCAGCCTTTGGAATAGCTGGGATTATGGGCGTGTGCAACCACGCCCAGCTAATTTTTGTGTTTTTAGCAGAGACAGGGTTTCACCATGTTGGCCAGGCTGATCTTGAACCCATGACCTCAAGTGATCTGCCTACCTTAGCCTCTGAAAGTTCTGGGCCACTGTGCCTGGCCCAGAACCACTAACTCCTGAGCACTTGGAATATGTCTAGTGTGGTTGGGAAACTGAATTTTTATCTAACCTTGTTGTTAATAATCTGTACCACCTACTTAGGAGGCTGAGGTGGGAGGATCGCTTGAGCCCAGGAGTTCTGGGCTGTAGTGCGCTGTGCCCATCACGTCTGCACTAAGTTTGGCATCAGTATGGTGACCTCTCGGGAGCGGGGGGACCACCAGGTTGCCTAAGGAGGGGTGAATCAGCCCAGTGGGAAACAGAGCAGGTCAAAATTCCCAGGCTGATCAGTAGTGGGATCGCGCCTATGAATAGCCACTGCACTCTAGCCGGAGGAACATAGTGAGACATCCGTCACTAAAAAAAAAAAAAAAAAAAAAAAAAAAATCTAAATGTAAATAGGCATAAGTGAAAGAGGGCCAGAGAGATCAAACAGGGGCTTGTCTTGATTTTCCAGACCCAGCAGACCTTTGCCCTGTTAATCGTTATATTATTTTGAGGGAGAGATCGACGATAGCCCTGATATCAGCCCTCTGCAATATGAACAGGTTTCTTCTGGTTGGACATGTTTTTATGGCCTTTGGGAGAGCTGAAAAAAGTATGGAGTCTTCTGCTGCTACTTTTCCAGTTAGCAAATGTACTTAATTACCCCAATAATATAAGAATACATAGTTGTCATGAAAAATATAGAATTTATAGAGTAAAAAGTGAAAATACCCCTCCCCAGAGGCCGCCGAACACTTAACCCCACGGTTTACAGCCTATTTGACCGCTTCTTTCAGAGAAAGTGACCTTTCTCTGTGCACTTACATGGTCTTGCTTGATATTTCATAATCTGGATTTTTAGTGATCTAGCCTGGGATCCCTGTTGATGGACATTCAGATTTCCTCTCATTTCCTTCCTTTATAAACAATGCTGGCTGGGTGCAGTGGCTTATGCCTGTAATCCCAGGGCTTTGGGAGGCTAAGGCTGGTGGATTGCCTGAGGTCAGAAGTTTGACACCAGCCTGGCCAACATGGAGAAACTCAGTCTCTACTAAAAATACAAAAAATTAGCTAGCCATGGTGGTGGGCGCCTGTAACCCCAGCTACTTGGGAGGCTGAAACAGGAGAATCGCTTGAACCTAGGAGGCAGAGGTTGCAGTGAGCTGAGATCCTGCCATTGCACTCCAGCCTGGGCAACAAGGGCGAAACTCCATCTCAAACAAAACCAAAAACAGAGTGTGAGGGGAGCGGCGTGAAGAGCAGATGCCACCACCACCACCACCACCACCACCGCCATAGACACACTCGTCCCACAGGCCACGCCTGGGCCTTGCTGCCAGGAAGCTTCGGCCCTGCAGCTCCGCTTGCTGCTGTCTCGGGTTTCTTTACCTCCAGAAAGAAGAAGATTGACCCCTCGAATTCTGGAAGTTCATTGAAGAGTCTGAAATTAGGGATTTATTTCAAATTTGGGCATGGCTAATCGAGGTGCAACAAGACCCAACGGGCCAAATACTGGAAATAAAATATGCCAGTTCAAACTAGTACTTCTGGGAGAGTCTGCTGTTGGCAAATCAAGCCTAGTGCTTCGTTTTGTGAAAGGCCAGTTTCATGAATTTCAAGAGAGTATCATTGGGGCTGCTTTTCTAACCCAAACTGTATGTCTTGATGACACTACAGTCAAGTTTGAAATACGGGTTACAGCTGGTCAAGAACGACACCATAGCCTAGCACCAATGTACTGCAGAGGAGCACAAGCAGCCATAGTTGTATATGATATCACAAATGAGGAGTCCTTTGCAAGAGCAAAAAATTGGGTTAAAGAACTTCAGAGGCAAGCAAGTCCTAACATTGTAACAGCTTTATCAGGAAACAAGGCTGACCTAGCAAAGAAAAGAGCAGTAGATTTCCAGGAAGCACAGTCCTGTGCAGATGACAATTGTTTATTATTCATGGAGACATCAGCTAAAACATCAATGAATGTAAATGAAATATTCATGGCAATAGCTCAAAAATTGCCAAAGAATGAACCACACAAAATCCAGGAGCAAATTCCGCCAGAGGAAGAGGAGTAGACCTTACTGAACCCACACAACCAACCAGGAGTCAGTGTTGTAGTAACTAAACCTCTAGTTTGAACTAGCTGGAATAGTCTTCTGCTTCCTAAATGTTAGTAACAATGGAATTGGAGCATTTAACCAGCCCACTATGACTTCCAAAAGAAGAGACTTACGATAGAGTCAAGTTTCTAATACGGAATTATTTTAAGTGTTTTGAACTTAATTTTTAATAACATGCATGGGTCCCTCTCACTAATGTTTCAGCAATAGGGAAATATGAGAACTGTGTGGACAGTTGTTTCATTGGAAGATTAGGGGAAATCATTTCCCATCACTAGAAATATAGACAAATGACTGTCTGGACCCACACAGTTAACCAGCCTATTTCTCCACACTGGTAGAGTAGTCACCTGTGAAAAAATTTTGGAACTTACTAATTGGGGCTTTTCAAAAACATTCTTTTTTTAGAAGGAGATGCTAAAGTTACTTATGACGCTTAGCTATAGTATTCAGGCAAATGTTCATTTCTCCTGGTACCTGTGTTTAAAATGTACATTCCACATTTTAATGAATTAACCACAAGAAAATAATCCCACATATACAAGGTGGGGGTCAGGGGGCAGGGAAGAGTATTAATGGCATCTAAATTATAGCCAGTCCTGTTTTTTTTAATGGGGTAAAAAAGAAATGCAACCCCATCTTGTTTTAGGAATTTGAGAACTAATAAATGCATCTTAATGGATAGTGTTTTTTTACAAACATATGAGTTCTTTAACAAAAATGAAATAAACCAGGTGTCTGTGATTTCTAATTAATCACTGCTGGCCATTACATAGGTTTTGTTGTTTGGGGCAGGGAGGGGGCTTTTGTTCCCTTTTGATGTAATATAGTCAATGCACTAACAATTATGTATATTCAAACTTGATTTTAAATTCGATGTTCAGCTGTACTGTAAATAGGGTACTGCATTGTAGTCTCCATATATGTATTATTTTTCTGTAATATTTAAGAGTTGCTTTAAAGTATACAAAATATACAGTTACTAAAACAGCTAATAATTTCTCTCTCCCCTTTTGGCAGGAAGGGGCTTCAGTTGTTCCTCCATTGCTAGAATCATAATAAACAATGTACCCACAGTTTGTAACATAAAGTATTGCAATATGTTAGTAACAATCTTGCAGATTTAGAAACTTCTTTTCCAAAGTTCATTTTATTTTGATCAGTTCGGTATATTGCACTAATTATTTTAGGTATTTTCATTATATGAAAGCAGCTACCATGTGTCAGAGATGATTTAATCTGTTTAGGTGTGGGACTGCTAGGAGAACTTGTACATTTATGATAATGCAGAATTAGGAAAACGGTTCACCAGTGTTTAGTTTTATATTGAGGTGCTCAGGTTGGAATAAAGTGGTATAAAAAGCAAAACAAAAACAAAAACAAAAAAACAAAAAACAATGCCCTAGGGAACCTCTATGTACTACCTAGCTACAGTGTTTCTGTTCTCTTCACTCTCTGGAGTTTTCCTGCCATCCAAGGAGGTATTTCATTCCCAGCATAAGAAGTCAGAGGCAGCTGGGCATGGTGGCTTACAGCTGTAATCCCAGCACTTTGGGAAGCTGAGGCTGGAGGATTGCTTGAGCCCAGGAGTTCAAGACCAGCCTGGGCAACATGGCGAGACCACATCTCTACTTTTTTATTTAAAAAAAAAGAAGAAGTCAAACAGTTCTCTGTGCCATGAAGCCTGACTGTTCTTTTTCAAAGTGATTTTGGCTCTTCTAGGTGTGCTGCGATTCCATATGAATTTTGGGATCAGCTTGTCAGTTTCTATAAGGAAGCCAGCTAGGATTCTGACAAAGATTATGTTGAATATGTAGATCAATTTGAGGAATTTTGCCATACATCTTCTGATTCACAAACATGGGATGTTTTCCGTTTCTTTCGAGCTTCTTTAAGTATTTTCCACAATGTTATAGTTTTCAGAGTATGAGATTTGCACTTCTTTGGTTAAATTTAGTCCTAAATGTTTTCTTCTTCTTCTTCTTTTTTTTTTTTTGAGATGGAGTTTCACTCTGTCGCTGGGCTGGAGTGCAGTGGCGCGATCTCAGCTGCAACCTCTGCCTCCTGAGTTCAAGTGATTCTCCTGCCTTAGCCTCCCAAGTAGCTGGGACTACAGGCATGCACCACCATGCCCAGCTAATTTTTGTATTTTTTAGTAGGGACGGGGTTTCACCATGTTGACCAGGATGATCTCAATCTCTTGACTTTGTGATCCTCCCACCTCGGCCTCCCAAAGTGCTGGGATTACAGACTTGAGCCACCACGTCCGACCATGTTTTATTCTTTTTGATGCAATGGCACATGGAATTTTATTCTTAATTTTAGTTTTGGGTTGTTATATGTGCTTTTCTTTTTCTTTTAGAGAGAGGGTCTTGCTCTGTCACCCAGTCTAGAGTGCAGTAGCACCGTCAGGGCTTACTCCAGCCTCCTGAGCAGCTGGGAGCACAGCCATGCACCTCTATGCTTAGCTAATTAAAAAAAAAATTTTTTTGTAGCAATAGGGGCCTCCCTATGTTGCTCAGGCTTGTCTCAAACTCCTGGGCTCAAGTAGTCCTCCCACCTTGGCCTTCCAAGGTGCTGGGATTACAGGCGTGAGCCACCACGACTGGCTACCTGTGCATTTTCAATGTCAAGTTTTTATCAGTGCTTTCTTTCCCAATACTGAGTACTCTCTGTGCATCTGGGGCTGTTCCAGTCTCTGGGGATACAGAGAGGAAAGGGGACACCGGAATTTGTGTTTCTTGAGGCAGGGACTACTCTTCTGGCTCCCTGCAATAAGCTGACCAGTCTGACCTCATGCTCTTGGCTTTGTCTCAGGGTTTCCTGGAGGAGACTAGCCTCTTTTATGGACATTACTCCATTGATGGGATGAAATTTCAGAACTTCACTTATGATCTGCCCCTGGCATATTTGTTAAGCACAATCGCCTACCTGGTCCTGAGCCTTCTTTGGATAGTGAAAAGGTAAAGTCTGTCCTTCCATTCTCTCTGAATTACCCTTCATGGCTGGAGGCTATTGGAGATATGGGAACTCTGGGGACCATTGCCTAAAGAATGAGCGGAGTCCAGGGGATGGTTTTATGGGGAAAGGTCTGTGAGTACGTTAGTAGCTGGAGAGCCGTGGGAGAAATAAAAGTCAGGATTTGGGATGGAGTAGCAGCCTGAGGTTCTTTTTTTTTTTTTTCAAGACAGAGTCTTTCTCTGTCACCCAGACTGCAGTGTAATGGTGGGATCTTGGCTCACTGCAACCTTTGCCTCCCAGGTTCAAGTGATTCTTGTGCCTCAGCCTATAGGCACATGCCACCACGCCCGGCTCATTTTTGTATTTTTAATAGAGACGGGGTTTCACCATGTTGGCCAGGCTGGTCTCCAGCTTTTGACCTCAAGTGATCCGCCCACTCTGGCCTCCCAAAGTGCTGGGATTACAGGTGCCAGCCACTGCACCTGGCCTGGGTTCTTTTTTCCTTTTTCTTTTTTTTAAAAATAAAGACAGGGTTTCACCATGTTGGCCAGGCTGGTCTTGAACTCCTGACCTCAGGTGATCCGCCCGCCTTGGCCTCCCAAAATGTTAATATTACAGGCGTGAGCCACCATGCCCAGCCTGGCCTGGGGTTCTTTACTGAATCATTACTGAACGCATCAGGCAATCCCACTCCACTGCACAACACACCATAACTTTGCTTTGCTGTGTATGTTAACTAGGTCTCTATTGGGTTGTAAATAGCAGAAACCTAACTGAGGGTTATTGAGTGCCTCACAGATCCAAGGAAGGGAGGAAACTCAAATTCCCAGAGGGCCAAAGATGGAGCCATGGCTTAGGAACAACATCAAAAGCAAGAATCCTTTGTCTTCAATTCCTCTATGTGGTGGTAGCTTTCTTAAGTGGTGGGAAATAGGGCATCTTCTTTTTTTCTTTTTTGAGATGGAGTTTCGCTTTTGTTGCCCAGGCTGGAGTGCAGTGACTCACCACAACCTCCACCTCAAAATAGGGCATCTTATAGTTTGCGTTAGCCTTGACCTCCTGCGTCACAGGTACGAAAATCCTAGGAAGAGACTTGTTGTGTCTGTTTCATTCAGGTTCCCAGCCCTGACCCTTGCTGACCATGGCCATGGGGAGCAGTGTGTCTGTGATGAGCCCCTGGTGGTTCAAGTGCTCAGCACTGTGCTCCTTCAGCTGTGGCCAGGGGCGAGGGTCAAATGGCAACATGGCTTTTCCTATGGGAGACAAGTGGTTTAGGGAGAGAGAGCAATTCCCAAGAAATGAAAGGAATATTGGCCAGGCGCAGTGGTTCACGCCTGTAATCCCAGCACTGTGGGAGGCTGAAGCGGGCAGATCACTTGGTCAAGAGATCGAGACCATCCTGGCCAATATGGTGAAACCACATCTCTACTAAAAATAGAAAAATTAGCTGGATGTAGTGGTGCACACCTGTAGTCCCAGCTACTTGGGGAGGTTGAGGCAGGAGAATTGCTTGAACCTGGGAGGTGGAGGCTGCAGTGAGCTGGGATCGTGCCACTGCACTCCAGCCTGGTGATAGAGTGAGACTCCATTAAAAAAAAAAGTATTAATTCCCTTAACAAACATTGTTTCAAGACGTACAATGACCCAAACACAATATAAATTTTATTTCTTTTTATTAGCTGGGTGTGATGGCTCAGACCTGTAGTCCCAGCTACTTGGGAGGCTGAGACAAGAGAATCACTTGAACCCGGGAGGCAGAGGTTGCAGTGAGCCAAGATTGCACCACTGCACTCTAGCCTGGGCGACAGAGCAAGACTCTGTCTCCAAACAAACAAACAAACAAACAAACCCTTGTATTTCTCTTTTACATGACAGTTCTGGGTAGAGGCACAGGTTAGTGTGGTAGAATCCTTCCTATAGTATTTTAGGACTCAAGTTGACCAAAATTCAGCCATCTTTAGCATGTGGCTTTGAAGGTCCTGCTGAGGGATGGGAAAGGAAAAAGCATGGAGGAGAACCATTCTGAGGGTATTTATATACCAGACCTGAACCTGGTGCACATCACTCACATCCCATTGGCTACAGCTCAGTCACATGACCATAGCTAACTGCAAGGGAGGCTGGGAAACATTATTCCTGGCTGGGTATCCATTACCCAGCAGTGACACTGTACTACAGATGGTGAACCACAAATTTTTGATGGACAGCTTTTCATCTGTGCCTCAGGGGGTTGCTTGGCAGACACTATCATGGGTGGGCCCCTTTCTTGCCCACTTGATTGTCCCTGTGAGAGCATGCACAGTGTTGTAAGCCATGGAGCTGCAAAGCTCCTTATCACAGGTGCAGAAGAGACCAGGGTGCTGTGGATTGATTTGGCCTTCCGTAAGGACCAGAATTCACCACTGCAAAGAAAACCCCAGTGCCCAACGGGCACTTGTATCCTGAGTCAGAATCTATGAGATGAATGTGAACTGGTGAGCCTCCATCCCTCACCCAAATGGACCATGTACAAATGAAAAGCCCCAGCCTCCTTTTGAGGGGCAGAGAGATGCTTGGTAAAGAAATATTGGTTGATTGGGGTTCTATGATCGTGCCAGGGCAGATCCAAGTTTTACAGACTTACAGGTTAGACAATTTGGAGGCACCATCTTTAAGACAAAGAGTATTAAAATATATGTATTTTGTAAATGATAAAAACAAACAAATAAAACCGTAGGAACACATTGCTAGAGTCTCCTAGAGCCTTGGAAGGGGCCCTGAAGAATGAATAAGGTTATTTGTGTTGTTGTTGTTGTTTTTCAAGACGGAGTCTTGCTCTATCACCCAGGTGCGATCTCAGCTTGTTGCAACCTCTGCCTCCTGGGTTCAAGCAATTCTCCTGCCTCAGTCTCCCAAGTAGCTGGGATTACAGGTGCACGCCACCACGCCTGGCTAATTTTTGTGTTTTTAGTAGAGATGGGGTTTCACCATGTTGGCCAGGCTGATCTGGAACTCCTGACCTAGTGATTCACCCACCTCAGCCTCTCAAAGTGTTGGGATTACAGGAATGAGCCACCGCACCTGGCTGAATGAATAAGGTTTGTTAGTTGCACAGCGAATCCACCTGTGAATCTTGCTCAAGTTCAAGGCCTGATGCTTTCTGGGGAAGGCAGTGGAGGGAGGGCTTGGTGTGATATAATAGGGGAAAGGCCGGCTGTGGCCCAGGAAGTGGAAGTGCCACAGAGTGACAAAGAGTATGGACTTTGTAGGCCAGAGACCATGGTTGGAATGTCAGTTGGCCTCTTTGAGCCTCATTTTCTCCATCTGTGATATGTGCATACCTGGAAAGGTTGTTGGGAGGATTAACATAAGCTAGGCAGGTGAATGAAGACCTTAGCACTGTGCCTAGCACCTTATAGACATTTATTACATTAAAATTATCATCATCATCATTATCATCAAGGTAGCAACAATTCTGCCACCTACTTCTCTGATTATAGGGAAATAATTTTTCTTCCTCTGATCTAGTTTTCTCACCTGTTAAATGTAGGTCTGGGTCAAGTATGATGGCTCATACCTATAATCCTGGCACTTCCAAGGCCAAGGTGGACAGATTGCTTGAGCCCAGGAGTTCAAGAGCAGCCTTGGGCAACATGGCAAAACCCTATTTCTACAAAAAATACAAATTATTAGCTAGGTGTGGTAGTGTGTACTTCTACATTTGAGCTATGTGAGAGGCTGAGGTGGGAGGATCACCTGAGCCTGGGGAGGTTGAGGCTGCAGTGAGCCATGATCACGCTGCTGCACTCCAGCTTGGGTGACAGAGTGAGACCTCATCTAAAAAAAATATATATGTACATATAAAATAAAATAAAATGTAGGTCTGGTCTAAATCAGAGACTTGCAACTGGGATGGGTCACCATGAGCTTTGTAACATGGCATATTTCTGGACCCCACATGAGACCTATTGAATTGAAAATCTGAGGTAAGAAACCATTTGGGAACCTGTATTTGGGGAAAGCACCCCTTGTGATTCTGACATAAATTCTTTGCTGTAATCCTTTGGCAGAATGACTGATCATAACAATTCCTTCCACTACTTTTCTTTCTTTCTTTTTTTTTTTTTTCAAGACAGGGTCTTGATATATTGCCAGGCTGGAGTGCAGTGGTGTGAATTTGGCTCACTGCAACCTCTGCCTACCAGGTTCAAGCGATTCTTCTGCCTCAGCCTCCCAAGTAGCTGGGACTCCAGGCACCCACCACCATGCCCAGCTAATTTTTTTTTTTTTGTATTTTTAGTAGAGATGGGGTTTCACCATGTTGGCCAGGATGGTCTCCATCTCTTGACCTCATCATCCACCCGCCTCGGCCTCCCAAAGTTCTGGGATTAGAGGCATAAGCCACCATGCTTGGTCAATTCCTTCCACTTCTGCTGTCTTCATGCCTCACTAGCAAGTCCTAAAAATAATCCGTTTCATCTGCAGAGGACTGTGTATAGCATCTGGTGTTTTATACCATCAAGTGCCAGGGTATATTTTTTCCATGAAAGCATTTGAATGAATAAAAAATGTGCAACAGAATTGTATCTGCCCTAAATAGGTGCTCACTAAATAGTGTTTTTTTGTTTTATTTTTTATTTTGAGACAGAGTTTCACTCTTGTTACCCAGGCTGGAGTGTAAGTCATGATTTTGACTCATTACAAGCTCTGCCTCCCTAGTTCAAGTGATTCTCCAACCTCAGCCTCCCAAGTAGCTGGGATTACAGGCACCTGCTATCATGCCCTGCTAATTTTTGTATTTTTGTAGAGATGAGGTTTTATCACGTTGGCCAGGCTGGTCTTGAACTCCTGACCTCAGGTGATCTTCCTGCCTCGGCCTCCCAAAGTGCTGGGATTACAGGTGTGAGCCACCGCACCCATCCCTAAATAATTAATATACTATTTAAGTCATTTATTCCTTGATTTATCCATCAGTTGCATATTAACCATAGTATATAGTCCACGCATTATGGATATGAAAGTGGCAAGATAGCCAGGGTAACTGCTCTCGAGGAATTTAAACTTTAGTTAGAGTAAGGAGCTACAAGCAGTAAACAGTTGAATAAGATAATTGCAGGTTGTGTCATTGCTGTGAATTAAATAAAAGGGACTGACTTGAAGTGGGGGTTACAGCCTTAGAAGGGAAGATGAGGGATCATAAAGGGGTTATTTGAGCCAAAACCCAAAGGATGGGAAGGAGAACAGTCATAGGGAGAGTCAGAGAAACACCATCCCTGGAGATGGTAGTGGAAATTCCCAAGTACAGAGGCCCAGAGGCAGGGACGGGAATTTGTGTATTTATGGAAAGAAGAGAAAGCCAGTATAGTTACACGGGAGGAGAGACAGCAGAACTGGATCATATAGGATCTCTAGGCTGGATTAAGGAGATTGGATTTTAAAAGAAAATGAATCATTCTACCAAAAAGACACCTGCACTCATATTTCATCACAGTGCTGTTTACAATAGCAAAGACATGGAATCAACCTAGGTGCTCATCAACAGAGGATTGGATAAAGAAAATGCGGTACACATACACCATGGAATACTACACAGCCACGAAAAAGAAATGAAATCATGTCCTTTGCAGCAACATGTATGCAGCTAGAGGCCATTATCCAAAGCAAATTAATGCAAGAACAGAAAACCAAATACTGCATGTTCTCACTTATTAGTGGGAGCTAAACGTTGGGTACTTATGGACATAAAGATGGCAACAAAAGAAACTGAGGACTCCTGGGGTGGAGAGGGAGGGAGGGAGGCAAGGATTGAAGGACTATTGGGTACTGTGCTCAGTACCTGGATGATGGGATCATTTGTACCCAAAACCTCAGCATCATACAATATTACCAAGGTCACAAACCTGCACATGTACCCCTGAATCTAAAATAAAGGTTGGGGCTGGCTGGGCACAGTGGCTTATGCCTGTAATGCCAGCACTTTGGGAGGCCAAGGTGGGAAGATCACCTGAGGTCAGGAGTTCAAGACCAGCCTGGCCAACATGGTGAAACCTCTACTAAATATACAAAAATTAGCTGGGTATGGTGGAAAGAGCCTGTAATCCCAGCTACTTAGGAGGTTGTGGCAGGAGAATCATTTGAACCCAGGAGGTGGAGGTTACGGTGAGCCAAGATTGTACCACTGCAGTCCAGCCTAGGCAAGAGGATGAGACTCTATCTAAAAAAAAAAAAAAAGTTGGGCAAAAAGGTTTGGATTTTATTCTAGCTGTGATTGAAGCCATTAGATGGGTAAAAGGAAAGGACCTTCAGCAATGAGATACTCTGTTAGCTGCCACATATATGTAGAATGGCCCCAAACTTGACCATGTGACAGTGGGCTAAAAATGCAGCTATGTCTAACTTTTTAAGTTTCAGACAAAGCCAATACAGGGGCCTCTTTTTGCTGTTGTTCCTAAAAGAAGGATGATTGTGTTTTGGGGTCAGGTCGGTGGAAGGATTCAAAATCAACCTGATTCGGAGTGAGGAGCACTTTCAGAGTTACTGCAACAAGATCTTTGCTGGCTGGGACTTCTGCATCACTAACCGCAGCATGGCGGATCTGAAGCACAGCAGCTTGCGGTACGAGCTCCGAGTGAGTGCTCCTGGGTTTTCCCATAGTGGGGTCCTCACCAGCAAGGTCCTGCCTTGGGAGCTTGAGTTTTCAGCTTGCAAAGGATCTGGGGTGGGAGCCAGGTGGTCCCTAGTGCTTACCAAGTTACTTCTCTAGAGTTTTCAAGAACTTTTCACAGTGAACACGTTACTGGGGTTGATTACCCTAGACCTGAACAAGAGCACTGGTGAACTGCGACGGGGGAGTGGGGTGGGGAGGCAGTGGCTGCAAGGAGATGATGTCTTTCCCCACATGCTGCTAATTTACATTGTTATTTTTCCACCTGATGAGGACCTGTCATAAACACTTGCTTATACCAGGAGAAATGGGACGAAGGAGGGAATATTATGACAGTAGTGTGGGATGCAGAGTATATGAAAAATCACAAGAGAGTTTCCAAATGAATGAGAGAAAGAAGTAAAGAATAGCATGTTAATAAGCTCATCAAAGAAAAGGAGGAGGGGACAAAGGAAGCATAATAAAGTGGAAGGAATCAAATCAAATCTATTCTTTCTTACACTAAATATGAACAGATTAAATTCTCCTAATAAAAGCAGAGACTACTAGATTGGGTAAAAGAAAAAATAACAACACCTCATCTATATGCTGTTTGAAGAAATGACACATACTACGTTTAAGTAATATGAATAGTTTATAGTTCTGATTTCACATTGATTGCAAAGCCCAACTGCATTCTTTTTTTTTTTTTTTTTTTTTTTAAAGATGGGGTTTCACCATGTTGGTCAGGCTGGTCTTGAACTCCTGACCTCAGGTGATCTGCCCGCCTTGGCATCCAAAGTGCTTGGATTACAGGTGTGAGCCACCATGCCCAGCCAATTGCAGTCTTAAATAGGAGGTTTGGTTGGGCACAGTGGCTCATGCTTGTAATCCCAGCACTTTGGGAGGCTGAGGCTGGTGGATCACCTGAGGTCAGGAGTTCGAGACTGGTGGCCAACATGGTGAAACCTCATCTCTACTAAAAATACAAAAATTAACTGGGCATGGTGGCATGCCTGTAATCCCAGCTGCTCAGAATGCTGAGGCTCTCTGCTTGAACCGAGAGGCAGAGGTTTTGGGCTCACCACTGCACTGCAGCCTGAGCAACAGAGTGAGACTCTGTCAAAAATAAAATAAAATGAAAAGGAGATTCTACCTTTACTTATGCCTTTAGTAGACATAAAAAGTAGTTGAGCGAAGTCTAGGATGGTTTCTCAGGGGAGATGAATATTTAAAGGAAGTCTTTTTTGTTTGTTTTTCTGAGATAGCATTTCACTCTGTCTCCCAGGCTAGAGTACAGTGACGTGATCATAGATCACTGCTGACTCAAAATCCCAGGCTCAAATAATCTTTCCTCCTCAGCCTCCCAAGTAGCAGGGACTACAGGCACTCATCACCATGCCCAGCTAATTTTTCTATTTTTTTGTTGAGACTCTCACTATGTTGCCAGTGTTTGAACTCCTGGGCTCATGTATCCTCCTACCTTGGCCTCCCACAGTGCTCGGCTTGCAAGAGTGAGCCACCATGCCTGGCCGAACTTTCAAAGATGGACGGGGAGAGAATGATGAATCAGTTTCTACACCTGAGTATCCCTTCATCCCACTGCTCACAAATGAATTTTCTTTTATCTTCAGGCAGATCTAGAGGAAGAAAGAATACGGCAGAAAATAGCAGAAAGGACCTCAGAAGAAACAATACGCATTTACTCTTTGAGACTGTTTTTGAACTGTATTGTTCTGGCTGTTTTAGGGGCATGCTTTTACGCAATATATGTAGCAACTGTCTTCTCACAAGAGCACATGAAAAAGGTAAGTTAACTTGTATTCTGGCTGGACATTATGCTAAGTGCATTGAAAACCTGTGAGGTAGACACCACCATCATTTCTATTTTACATATAGAGATACAAGTTTGGCTGATACAATCAAGAACTGAAAATCAGAGGTGATCAGTTACCACTTTTAAAGCAATTTTTATTATTATTATTTTTTTTTGGTTGAGACAGCCTTACTCTGTCACTCAGGCTGAAGTGTGAACCTCAGCTCACTGCAACCTCCACCTCCCAGGTTTAAGAGATTCTCGTGACTCAGCCTCCCTAGTAGCTGGTATTACAGGCTTGCACTACCATGCCCGGCTAATTTTTGTATCTTTAGTAGAGACGGGGTTTCACCATATTGGCCAGGATGGTCTCAACCTCCTGACCTCAAGAGATCCACCCACCTTGGCCTCTCAGTGTGCTGGGACTGCAGGTGTGAGCCACTGTGCCTGGCCTTAAAAGACATTTTTAAAGGCATCTTAAGTATAGTGTTCGAGATGCTTACTGCTCCTGGAATTTGCAGTATTCAAATCTAGGCTGAAGTAGGGTTTTATTCCTTATGAACTAAGGCCTTGGTTTACCTAAAATAGCAGTGGTTTTAAAAATCCAAGTTTGTCTAGTGGCTCTGCTTCATGAAATCAATCAATAGGGGCCCAGGTTCCATTCATCTTGTGACTCTGCCCTCCTTAGGGTATAGTTTTCTTTCCTTTCTTTCTGAGACAGAATGTTGCTCTGTCACTTCGGGGTGAAGTGCAGTGGTGTGATCTCTACTCACTGCAACCTCCATCTCCTGGGTTCAAGTTTAATTTTTCTGCCTCAGTCTCCCAAGTAGCTGGGATTACAGGTGCCTGCCACCACACCTGGCTTATTTTTGTGTTTTTAGTAGAGACAGTGTTTCACCAGGTTGACCGGGCTGGTCTAGAACTCCTGGCTTCAAGTGATCCACCAGCCTCGGCCTCCCAAAGTGCTGGGATTACAGGCATGAGCCACCATGCCTAGCTGGGTATGGTTTTCTGTACGGTGCAAGATAGCTCACCACCATGGCCAGCCAAGGAGAAGGAGCTGAAGGAGCTGAGGAGCTGAGGAGAGCACATTTCTTCCTTCAAAGGGCATGACCTGGAGGTTACACTAAAAACTTCCACTCATATCCCTTGGCCAGAATTTAGTCACATGGTAGTACCTAGCTAGAAGGGAGGCTAGGAAATTTCCTTTTTATTGTGGATAGCTATATATTGGCTAAATAGTCTGCTACCGTGAAAGCAGCCAATGGCTATTTCAATTTCAAATCAATCAATTCTACGTCCTTGAATATACTTTAAATTGCTCATTTATGCAGAATACATGGGTCTTCTTATACATCCCCTTAATAAATCCAATACAGCCTGGTTTTCTTCTGGCACAGTACTAGATACCTCTTTGTGAACACTTGAAGAAGGAGATGGCAACTGGGCGCGGTGGCTCATGCCTGTAATCTTGGCGCTTTGGGAGGTCAAGGTGGGTGGATCATCAGAGGTCAGGTGTTTGAGACTAACCTGACCAACATGGTGAAACCCATCTCTACTAAAAATACAAAAATTAGCCAGGTGTGATAGCAGGTGCCTGTAGTCCCAGCTACTCAGGAGGCTGAGGCAGGAGAATCACTTGAACCTGGGAAACTGAGGTTGCAGTGAGCCAAGATCGCGCCCCTGTACTTTAGCCTGGGTGACAGAGCAAGACTCTGTCTCAAAAAAAAAATTAAAAAACGGAAGGCAGTGACTTATGTTTACCAACTATGTTGGACGACAAATATGTTTTGTTTGCCAAACACTCATCGTTGAGTTTTTGTTGTTCTCTTTGTGTTGCAACTTCCATATGTACTCCTGACTAATAAGTTTTGTTATCCTCCTAGGAAATTGACAAGATGGTTTTTGGAGAGAACCTCTTGATATTGTATCTACCGTCTATCGTGATCACGCTGGCCAATTTTATAACCCCAATTATCTTTGCCAAGATCATCCACTATGAGGATTATTCCCCAGGCTTTGAGATCCGGCTAACAATTCTTAGGTAATGCCTAACATGAGGATGGCAGGCATGTCAAGCCAATCACCACTTGCCCACTCTCTTGCCCGTGGCAGACATTGCTAATCAATTGTGGTGCATTTTTCTGCTGAGCCAAGAATCCTCCTCAACCTTCAGACAGTCTCTGTGAACAAATCAGAATTTGTAGATATGGTGAAATCTCTTTAAGAGTCTACTCCTTGGTATTATGTTGATCTTTTTACCTCATGATCTGCCTGCCTCGGCCTCCCAAAGTGCTGGGATTACAGGCATGAGCCACCGCACCCAGCCTACTCATTGGTATTGTATTTTTGGTCCATATAATAGCACAGGGCATAGGCTGGGACTCTAAGAGGAGGTGTTGCTCTGAAGCTGTCAGAAATGACAGGTATAGGCCGGGTGCGGTGGCTCACACTTGTAATCCCAGCACTTTGGGAGGCCGAGGCAGGAGGATCATAAGGCCAAGAGATTGAGACCATCTTTGCCAACATGGTGAACACCTATTAGCTGGACATGGTGGTGTGCGCCTGTAGCCCCATCTACTCAGGAGGCTGAGACAGAAGAATCGCTTCAACCTGGGAGATGGCGGTTGCCTGGTGACAGAACAAGACTGTCAGAAATAAGAAAGGAAGAAGGAAAGAAGGAAGGAAGGAAAGAAGGAAGAAGGGAGGAAGGGAGGGGAAAGAAAGACAAAGAAAGGAAGAATAGAAAGAGAAAGAAAGAAGGAAAGAAGGAAGGAAAAGAAATGACAGATATAAGGCAGAGTCTACAGAGTTAACACAAATGAGTGGAGAGGACCAGGTGGGACTGTGTGGGACTTGAGAATTTTCTTTCTGTTTCTCAAATGCCTTAGATTTGCGTTTGCATCGTATTTTTAAAATTTTTTATTTTGGAAATTTTCTTTCTTTTTTTTTCTTTTATTTTGAGATGGGATCTCACTCTGTCCTCAGGCTGGAGTGCAGTGGTACAATCATAATTCACATTTTTTCTTTCTTTCTTTTTTTTTTTTTTTGTTGAGACAGGGTTTGTTATGTTGCCCAGGTTGGTCTTGAACTCCTGGGCTTAAGTGACCTTCCCACCTCCACCTCCCAAGTACTGGGATCACAGGCAAGAGCCACCATGCCCAGTCTCAAAGTTTTCAAATAGAATGAATAGTCTAATGATCCCCACATGCCCTTCACTTATATTTCAATCATTTCCAACATTTTACTAATCTTGTTTCATCTATTCCTCACTTCTTTGCTAAATTATTTTAAGCAAACCTCAGGCAACATGCCATTTAATCTGTAAACATTTCATTATACTTTTTGTTTTTGAGGCGGAGTCTTGCTCTGTTGCCCAGTCTGGAGTGCAGTGGTGCGATCGTGGCTCACTGCAACTTCTACCTCCTGGGTTCAAGTGATTCTCCTGCCTCACCTCCTGAGTAGCTGGGACTACAGGTGCATGCCACCATGCCCGGGTAATTTTTTAAAATATATTTTTAGTAGAGATGGTGTTTTTCCACATTGGCTAGGCTGGTCTTGAACTCCTGACCTCAGATGATCCACCCATCTTAGCCCCACAAAGTGTTAGGATTACAGGCATGAGCCACTGTGTCCAGCCATCTTCATTACATCTCTAAGTGATGGTGGCCTTACCGTCATCACAACAATGAAATTGAGTCAGTCTCCCCACTGGGGTTGCAGATGGTTTTTCACAGTTGATTTGTTCAAAGCAGAATCCAAACAAGGCCACAAGCTGTGTTTGGTTGTTATGTCTCCTAAATCCCTTTTATTCTTTTCAGAATTTCCCCGCCTCTTTTGTTAGGCCTTTGATTTCTGGAAGAAACTAGATTATTTTCCTGTAGAACAGCTCCTATTCTGGATTTCATCCATTGTTTCTTCCTGGCATGTTTAATTTGTTTTTCTGTGCCCGTAGTTGCTGTAAATGACTGTGTAGATTCAGAGTTTTTGTTAGATTCTGCTTCAGTTTTTAGTTAAGGAAACCTCATCAGTGACGCCCTGTCCTTCCTGTTGCATTCCAGCAGAGGCACAGAAGGTGGTGTTAGTAATGAAAAGAGTGAGCAGAGGGCGCGGGTTTGCTTTTCCCCCTATTCTTTTCTTTACTTTTTTTTTTTTGAGATGGAGTTTCGCTGTTGTTACCCAGGCTGGAGTGCAATGGCACGATCTCGGCTCACCGCAAACTCCGCCTTCTGGGTTCAAGCAATTCTCCTGCCTCAGCCTCCCGAGTAGCTGGGACTACAGGGGCACCAGCATGCCCAGCTAATTTTTGTATTTTTAGTAGAGACGGGGTTTCACCTTGTTGACCAGGTTGGTCTTGATCTCTTGACCTCGTGATCCACCCGCCTTGGCCTCCCAAAGTGCTGGGATTATAGGCGTGAGCTGCCGCACCATACTTTTTTTTTTTTTTTTTTTTGAGATGGAGTCTCACTCTAGCCCAGGCTGGAGTGCAGTGGGTCTATCTTGGCTCACTGCAACCTCCGCCTCCTGGGTCCCTATTCAAGCAATTCTCCTACCTCAGCCTTCAAAGTAACTGGGATTACAGGCACGAGCCACCATGCCCAGGTAATTTTTATATTTTTTAGTAGAGACAGGGTTTCACCATGTTGGCCAGTCTGGTCTTGAACTCCTGACCTCGTGATCGGCCTGCCTCGGCCTCCCAGAGTACTGGGATTATAGACATGAGCCACCGTGCTCGGCCTCTTTACTTTTTCTTGAGATTGGGTCTTGCTTGCTGTCTAGGCTGGAGTGCAGTGGCACAATCATAGGTCACTGCAGCCTTAACCTCCTGAGCTCAAATAACCCTCCTGCCTCTACCTCCCGAGTAGCTGGGATTACAGGTGCATGCAACCACACCAAGCTTATTTTTTAATTTTTTGCAGAAACAGAATCTCTTCATCTTGCCCAAGGTGTTCTCAAATGCCAGGGCTCAAGCAGTCCTCCTGCCTGAGCCTCCCAAAGTGTTGGGATTATAGGTGTGTGCCTCCACGCCCAGCCTCCCTCATTCTTTAGTGTTTCTATTTATTTTTGTATTATAAACCAAAGAATAGAAAATCATCTTTAAAAAAAACAAATGAAAACAAAAGCTCACCATCTCCGCCTACCTCCCTCGAATCCAGTGTGTTTTTGTCCGCACAGTTCACGACGTTCCTGCCAACACTCAGGTCTTGTTTTCTTATAAATAGGATCATATTTATGTGATATCTCTGCAGCATACTCTTTTTCACCTTTCAGCACACCAGACATCCCTCAACACTGATGCAGAAAAGATTCAATTGATTCTTTTTAGGAATGTGTCATGTCCTATAGTGTCACTACAGCCTCACAGAATTAGGAGGTCCCAGCTTTCTGATCTTTTTCAAAAAATTGTAGTAACTGGCTGGGCGCGGTGGCTCATGCCTGTAATCCCAGCACTTTGGGAGGTCGAGGCGGGCGGATCACCAGGTCATGAGATTGAGATCAGCCTGGCCAACATGGTGAAACCCCGTCTTTACAAAAAATGCAAAAATTAGCTGGGTGCCTATAGTCCCAGCTACTCTGGAGGCTGAGGCAGAAGCTACTCTGGAGGCTGAGGCCTCACTTGAACCAGGGAGGCAGAAGTTGCAGTGAGCCAAGATCGCACCACTGTATACCAGCCTGGATGACAGAGCAAGACTCACTCTCAAAAAAAACAAAGATTATAGTAACATAAAAGTTACAATTTTAACCGTAGTACAATATGGTGGCATTAAGTACATACAGTCCCAGTGTGGTGCAGCCATCACCACTATCCATCTCCAGAACCTTTTTATCAGCCCCAACAGAAATTCTTTATCCATTTAGGGGTTTGCTTTTTTTTTTTTTTTTTTTTGAGATAGAGTTTCGCTCTGTTGCCAAAGCTGGAGTGCAGTGGTGCGATCTTGGCTCACTGCAACCTCCGCCTCCCAGGTTCAAGCAATTCTCCTGCCTCAGCCTCCTGAGTAGCTAGGACTACAGGTGTGTGCCACCACACCCAGCTAATTTTTGTACTTTTATTAGAGATGGTTTCACCATACTGACCAGGCCGGTCTTGAACTCTTGACCTCAGGTGATCCATCTGCCTCGGCCTCCTGAAGGGCTGGGATTACAGGCATGAGCCACTGTGCCCTATTTTTTTTTTTTTTTTTTTTTAAATAAAGGGTCTCACTCTGTCCCTGAGGCTGGAGTGCAGTGGTGCAATCTTGGCTCACTGCAGCCTTGACTTTCTGGGCTCAAGTGATGCTCCTGACTCAGCCTCCTGTGTAGCTGGGTCACCATCACACCTGGCTAATTTTTATTTTTATTTTTTTATAGAGATGGCTGGCGGTGGCGGTCTCACTTTGTTGCCCAGGTTGGTCTCAAACGCCTAGGCTCATGTGATCCTCTGGTTTCTACCTCCCAACATGCTGGGATTACAGGCATGTGCCACTATTCCTGGCTGGGGTTTGCTTTTAAGGAAGGCAGCTTTGGGCTGGGCATGGTGGCTCACTTTTGTAATCCCAGCACTTTGGGAGGTCCAGGCGGGCAGATAGCTTGAGGCCAGGAGTTCAACACCACCTGGGCAACATGATGAAATCTCATCTCTACTAAAAAAAAAATAAATAAATAAAATTAGCTGGGTGTGGCGACAGCTGTAATCCCAGCTACTCAGGAGGCTGAGGCAGGAGAGCTGAGATCATGCCACTGCACTCCAGCCTGGGCAACAGAGCAAAGGCTTCATCCCAAAAAATGAAAAAACAAAACAAAACAATAACAACAGCAAAGAAAGGCAGCTTCTACATTCCCTAGCCCCAGTTCCAAGGGACTAGCTGCCCTGAGGGCCTCTCCCCATTGTCTCTCCTCCTCTTCCTGAAGGTGCGTCTTTATGCGGCTGGCCACGATATGTGTCCTGGTGTTCACGCTGGGCTCCAAGATCACATCCTGTGATGATGACACATGTGACCTCTGTGGCTACAACCAGAAACTCTACCCAGTGAGTTGCGGGGCTGGGGCATTCGGCTGGGTGGGTCCTTCTGGAGTACAGCGTCATGGTCAAGAGAACAGCCGTTGACGTCACAGGTTTGAACTGCCGTTGCTCCACTTTCTAGTTCTAGTGATGAGACAGAGTCTGATCCCACGGAGTCCAACCCAAGGCACATCTGAGGGGCTTGGAAACCAGTCTGTTTTGAGGCCCAGCATTTGCATCAGCTGATGCCCTAGCTGGAGCCGCAGGATCTGGAGTTGGAAAGGGAATTAGACGGTATCTTGAAGCCTGGCTTTCTCTGCCTCAGGTAGGGTCTTTCAGTTTCCCTCACTCTCTTTGGTTTCAGTGCTGGGAGACCCAGGTTGGGCAGGAAATGTACAAGCTGATGATCTTTGACTTCATCATCATCTTGGCTGTGACACTCTTCGTGGATTTCCCTAGAAAGTAAGTGTGGGAGTGCCCTTCTTATCCCTGCCGCCACCACACACACACACACACACACACACACACACACACACACACACACACAATTGGAGGGTCCCCTTGCAGCTGCATTCCTGAAGGTGCTAGATGACTCTACAGCCCTGGACATCTGACACCTGGCAACTTCTTCTTTCTTTCTTTCTTTCTTTCCTTCTTTCTTTCTTTCTTTCTTTCTTTCTTTTTCTTTCTCCCTCCCTTCCTCCCTTCCCTTCCCCTCCCCCTTCCTCCCTCCCTTCCTCCCTTCCCTTTTTCCCTTTCCTTCCCCTTCCCCTTCCCTCCCTCCCTCCATCCTTCCCTCCCTCCCTCCCCACTTCCTCCCTTTCTCCCTCCCTCCCTCCCTCCCTCCCTTCTTTCCTTCCTTCCTTCCCTCCCTCCCTCCCTCCCTCCCTCCCTCCCTCCCTCCCTCCTTCCTTCCTTCCTTCCTTCCTTCCTTCCTTCCTTCCTTCCCTCCCTCCCTCTTTCTCTTTCTTTCCTTTCTTTTATTTCCTGGCAGGGTCTTGCTCTGTCACCCAGGCTGGAGTGCACTGGTGCAATCATGGCTCACTGCAGCCTGGGTTCAAGTGATCCTTCTGCCTTAGCCTCCCAAGGAGTACCTGGACTGCAGGCATGCATCACCATGCTTGCTAATTTTTAAATTTTTTGTAGAGAGGGGGTCTTGCTGTGTTGCCCAGGCTGATCTCAAACTGGCCTTCAATGATCCTCCTGCCTCAGCCTTCCAAAGTGCTGGGATTACAGGTTTGAACCATTGCACCTGTCCACAACTGGAAAGTTTCAAGCAGCTCTAGGCTGGTGACCTCAGCATTCATTAGTTGTTCATCTAGAGGCAGCATGAAAAGCAGAAACAGGGTCACTCTCCATGAGGTTTTGCTGGAAACAACCTTCTGCCATTAGCACAAGAGGTGCAGACCCTCCAGGCTGCAGTGGACACCCGCCTCACAATCTGGGTTCAAGCTCCCTCCCTGCCTCTTGCTAGTCATGTGATCTTGGGCAAGTTACTTAAGCTCTGTGTCTGTTTCCTCACCTGTAAAATGCAGAGAGCAGTAGTACCCACCCAGTAACTTTGTTGCAGTAAATGAGATAATTAATGCAGATAAAAGCACTGAGAACACTCCACAGGACAGAACTCAACGAAACATTAGCTGTCACCATCATGATTATCATAAACTGTGTTGTCATTTCTGTTATTATTCTCTGTTCGCTTACCACTCTTTACCCACATATGCAGATAATCTAGGCAGAGGCCAGAGGTCCAGTGAGCCCTTAAAAATAAATATGAAAGGCTGGGCGTGGTGGCTCACGCCTGTAATCCCAGTACTTTGGGAGGCCGAGGCAGGTGGATCACAAGGTCAGCAGATCGAGACCAGCCTGGCCAACATGGGGAAACCCCATCTCTATTAAAAATACAAAAATTAGCTGGGTGTGGTGGCATGTGCCTGTAGTCCCAGCTACTTGAGAGGCTGAGGCAGGAGAATTGCTTGAACCTGGGAGTCAGAGGTTGCAGTGAGTCAAGATCGTGCCACTGCACTCCAGTGCAACAGAGCAAGACTCCATCTCTAAATAAATAATTAATTAATTAAATTAATTAAATTAGAAAGCCCTGGCACAGTAGCTCACACCCATAATCCTAGCACTGGGGAGGCCAAGGCAGGGGGATTATTTGAGGCCAGGAGTTTGAGATCAGCCTGGGCAAAATAGCAAGACCCCATTCCTAAAAAAAAAAAAAAAAAAAAGGTAGCCAAGTATGCACATGTCATCTCGGCCACTTGGGAGGCTGAGGCAGGAAGATCACTTGAGCCTTGGAGGTCCAGGGTACGGTGAGCTGTGATTGCACCACTGCACTCCAGCCTGGGTGACAAAGTGAGACCCTGTTTCAAAAAAAAAAAAATCAAGGATTGTATCAATTTGGGTGCTGAATTGTATATCTGAGACTTGGACCCTGATCTTAAATGATTCCAGAGTTTATTATATTCTGCCTCTTTTTTTTTTTTTTTTTTTTTGAGTGGAGTCTTGCTCAGCTGCCCAGGCTTGAGTGCGATGGCATGGTCTCAGCTCACTGCAACCTCCACCTCCCAGGTTCAAGCGATTCTCCTGCCTCAGCCTCCCGAGTAACTGGGATCACAGGTGCCTTCCACCACGCCTGGCTAATTTCTGTATTTTTAGTAGAGACGGGGTGTCACCATGTTGTCCAGGCTGGTCTCAAACTCCTGACCTCGTGATCCCTCCACCTCGACCTCACAAAGTGCTGGGATTACACGCGTGAGCCACCGCGCCTGTTCTATTCTGCTAAGACATATGACTAGCCAGTGTCCATGAGAAATATGCGTGGAAATAGCCCTGATCTTTTTGATGTGGTTCTGCGGCCTTGGGAGATGCCAGTAGCCCAGGTGAGGATTGTGTGTTCCAGGCTCCTGGTGACCTACTGTTCCTCTTGGAAGCTGATTCAGTGCTGGGGGCAGCAGGAATTTGCCATTCCCGATAACGTCCTGGGGATAGTTTATGGGCAAACCATCTGCTGGATCGGAGCCTTTTTCTCACCCCTTCTCCCTGCAATTGCAACCTTGAAGTTCATTATCATCTTCTATGTGAAAGAGGTAAGGAGCCGGTGGGAATGGGGGGCTCACATGCTGGGCCGTTTTCAACTTTCCAGGGCGCAAATATGTCTGGAGCTCACCTCACGTCCCATGAGACGTATCAAAATTACATCCTTTATTTAAAATATATGTTTATTCTAGAAAAAGACTCTTAATGGATTTTTGTGCTTTTGTAATTTTGAGAGTTTTGTCAAGAATTGTTTTGTTAAGTTCTGATGTGGTAGCTCCCTCCTGCCTGTAATCCCAGCACTTTGGGAGCCTGAGGTGGGTGGATCACCTGGGGTCAGGAGTTCAAGACCTCCCTGGCCAACATGGCGAAACCTCGTCTCTACTAAAAGTACAAAAATTAGCTGGGTGTGGTGGTGGGTGCCTGTAATCCCAGCTACTCCGGAGGCTGAGGCAGGAGAATTGCTTCAACCCAGGAGGCAGAGGTTGCAGTGAGCCAAAATCATACCATTGCACTCCAGCCTGGGTGACAGAGTGAGAATTTGTCTCAAAATAAATAAATACATAAATAAAAATAAAACGAACATTTATGAATTTCTATTTTGTAATTTTCTGTTTGCATTTTGGAGCCAATGTGTTTTTTGAATTTTGGTTTTTTTGAAAAAAAATTTTTTTTAATTGGAAAATGGGGGTGGGGGTGTCTTGCCGTGTTGCCCAGGCTGGTCTTGAACTGCTGGGCTCAGGTAATCCTCCCACTTCAGCCCTCCAAAGTGCTGGAATTGCATGTTGAGCCACCCCACCTGGACCAGTAAATTTATTTTCAAGTCTCAATGATTTGTGCAAGATCTTGGGTGTTTCACAGTTCATTGTGCCAGAACTAAGTGCTTAATGAGTAAAGCAGCCTTGCAGAAGACTGGCTCATCTGGACTTATTAACCTCTTTTTTATTTGTTTTTTTCTTTTTTGAGATGGAGTCTCACTCTGTCGCCCAGGCTGGAGTGCAATGGTACTATCTCGGGTCACTGCAACCTTCGTCTCCCGGGTTCAAGCAATTCTCCTGCCTCAGCCTCCTGAGTAGCTGGGATGACAGGTGCCTACCACCACACCCAGCTAATTTTTGTATTTTTAGTAGAGATGGGGTTTTACTGTGTTGACCAGGCTGGTCTTGAACTCCTGACTTCAGGTGATCCACCCACCTTTGCCTCCCAAAGTGCTTACAAAGGGATTACAGGCATAAGCCACCAGGCCCTGCCCTTTTTTTTTTTTTTAATTATAGAGGCTGCACAATATTAAACATTTAAATAATGCAGATATGTATACAGTAACTTCTGTCCCTTCTTCCAGAGGTACCCTCTGTTAACAAGCCCAACATTTATTGATCACCTATTATGCCAGGCCCTGAGGATTCCAAATTGAAAATCATAATAATACTGTTAATAATAATAGTGTTAGTAATAATAGCAGATAATAATGCCATGTGTCCCCTCTCTGCCATTACTTTACACAAATTTTCATGCAGTGATTTCACCCACCCTTTGATGTAGTACTGTATTTTATTTTATTAAAAGAAATTTTGAGACAGAGTCTCACTCCTGGTTTGGGTGCCGTGGCATGATCTCAGCTCATTGCAGCCTCTGCCTGCTGGGTTCAAGCAATTCTTGTGCCTCAGCCTCTTGAGTAGCTGGGATTATAGGCATACACAACTGTGCCCTGCTAAGTTTTGTACTTTTACTAGAGATGGGTTTTCACCATTTTGGCCAGGCTGGTCTTGAACTCCTGGCCTCAAGTGATCCACCCACCTCAGCCTCCCAGAGTGCTAGGATTACAGGTGTGAGCCACTGCGCCTGGACAAAAGTACCATATTTTGTAAATTAGGAAGCTGAAGTTTAGAGAAACTGGTCCAAGGTCACACAGCTTTTAAGTGACCCCTTAGATTGGAACCCAGGTTTATTTCACTCTAGAGTCTAAGCTCTTAACCCAGTATGCAAGGCCTTAGATTGGGCCAACCTTTCTACCTGGGTGTTTTGACTTTTTAAGAGTGTTCTGATGCTTTCACTTGGAAACACAAGTTGGCTGAAATCATCGAAGGAGAGATGGATGTGAGAAAGCTCACAGGGACTGTTTTCCCTTTCCAGAAAATACTGATTAGCCCATGGTTTCCCCGTGTGTAGCATAGGAAAGACACGGTGGGGTGATGGAGGCTGGTCATGGGGACACCAGGACTCACTTCCTTCACTCACAACAGGGGTGTCCTGCTGCTGCCCTGAGACTGGGCACCAAGTATCCTTGGTACTAAGTGTCCTCTGGCTCACAAGATGTTCTGGCTCCTCCTGAATTCAGAAGAGCTTATGTTCCTGTGGAGTCAGACAGCTTTTTAAACTATTGAGAAATTTCATGCCTGTTACCATTATATCCCTTCTCACTTCCTTGATATTTCCTTCGAGTCTTTTTTCCCCTCCATGGAAATACTTACTTTTAACATATAGGAAAAAGTATATGTGCTTATGAAAAACTTCAGGTAAAGGACCTCTTAATTCAGTGTATGTTATTATAGATTCAGTTATATATATTTAAATCCCTATAAAGAATAAATACTTTAACTCATCTTATGGAATTTTGAAATCTACAATTTTCACAGTGCCACATGGGTGTAAAGCTGTCTCTCATTATTATTTTTTCTTATTTGAGACTGGGTCTCACTCTGTCATTCAGACTGGAGGGCAGTGGCACAGTGGCACAGTCACGACTCACTACAGCCTCAACCTCCTGGGCTCAATCCATCCTCCCACCTCAGCCTCCTGAGTAGCTGGGACTACAGGTGCCTGCCACCACTCCTGGCTAATTTTTTGTATTTTTAGTAGAGATGGGGTTTCACCATATTGGCCAGGCTGGTCTCGAACTCCTGACCTTGTGATCCGCCCACCTCAGCCTCCCGAAGTGTTGAGATTACAGGTGTGAGCCACTGCGCCCAGCCTCATCCTTCTTTAGGATTGTATGGTATTTCATTCTATATAGATGTACTTTAACCTTTAACTATAACCTAGTAAACTGTTGTTCCCCACCTCCATTTTTCTTTTTGAGAGAGGGTCTCTCTCTTTTGCCCAAGCTGGAGTGCAATGGCACAATCATAGCTCACTGCAGCCTTAAACTCCTGACCTCAAGTGATCCTCCTGCCATGACCTCCCAAAGTGCTGGGATTACAGATGTGAGACATTGCACCCAGCCACTAACCCCCACTGATAGTTACTTGGGTTGCTTGCAATTATTCTGTGTTATCAATGATTGTAGCATTAAACATCCACCAATCTGTGTTTTGGCCCATTTCCCCTTCTGTTTCATCAGCATGAATCCTCCAGAGTTTAGAGTCTGAATTAAACCTTTTTCATTTTGATCCATATTGCTGGACAAGCCTTTGGAAAGGTTAGAGTGATTTACATTCCCACTGTAAACCAGGAATATGCATATTTATCCTCACAGAGGCTATAATCATTGATCTTAATTTTTCTTTCTTTTTCTCCTTGTAGTGGAGTCTGCTTTACACCTGCAGACCCTCCCCGCGGCAGTTCAGAGCATCCAATTCTAATTTCTTCTTCCTGTTGGTGTTGTTGATCGGTCTGTGTTTGGCAATAATACCTCTGACAATCAGCATGTCTGGGTAAATGTGGCTTTGTTTTCTAGAACATTTCCTTGCTTCTTGACCTGTTCCTCTTTTATGTAAAAGGGTCCATCACATCACATTCTTTTTGTTTTGTTTTGAGATGGAGTCTTGTTCTGTTGCCCAGGCTGGAGTGGGGTGATGCAATCTCAGCTCATTGCAACCTCTGTCTCCCAGGTTGAAGCGATTCTCCCGCCTTAGCCTCCCGAGTAGCTGGGACTACAGGCGTGTGCCACCACGCACAGCTAATTTCTGTATTTTTAGAATGAAGAAAAAGAAAGACATGGTATTTGCATTTTTTTGTTTTGTTTTTGGTTTTGAGACTGAGCCTCACTCTGTTGTCCAGGCTGGAGTGCAGTGGCAATCTTGGTTCACTGCCACCTCCGTCTCCCGGGTTCAAGCGATTCTGTGTCTCAGCCTCCCGAGTAGCTGGGATTACAGGTGCCCACCATCATGCCCCGCCAATTTTTGTATTTTTAGTAGACATGAGGTTTCGCCATATTGGCCATGCTGGCCTCAAATGCCTGACCTCAAGTCATCCATCCGCCTTGGCCTCCCAAAGTGCTGGGATTATAGGCATGAGCCACTGCACCCTGCCGTATTATTTTTTAATTTTTCAACTATTTTTATCTGAGGTTAGTTGAATCTGATGATGTAGAACCTTTGGATATGGGGGAGTTGACTGGATTTGTTTTTTCTATGGATACCTTTTTTTTTTGGATAGGAAACAATTTGAAATTAACTTATAGACATCGTGATATTTCATTGTTAAATACTTCAGCATGCTCCGAAGACTAAGCGCACTCTCCTTTATGTGTTTCCACAATCATATATCACACCTAAGAAGATTAATACTAATATCATACTTCTGCCATTTACAATTTATCCAATTGTTTCTAAATAGCCTTTAGTATAGTTTTTTTTTTTTTTTTTTGGGACAGCATCTTGCTCTGTCACCCAGGCTGGAGTACAATGGCCTGATCTCGGCTCACTGCAATCTCTGCCTCCCAGGTTCAAGCGACTCTCGTGCCTCAGCCTCTGAGTAACTGGGATTACAGGCATCTGCCATCTTGTCTACCTAATTTTTGTATTTTTTGTAGAGATGGGGTTTTGCCATGTTGGTCAGGCTGGTCTCAAACTCCTGACCTCAGATGATCCACCTACCTTGGCCTCCCAAAGTGCTGGGATTACAGGCGTGAGCCATCACATCTGGCTTAGATTTGTTTATAAAACAGTGATCTTTCAAGTTTGACCCATTGCTTTCGTTTGTTCTATCTCTTTAGTCTTCTCTTTTTAGTTTGAAGTTCTGGGGTACATGTGCAGGACATGTAGGCTTATTACCTAGGTAAACGTGTACTGTGGGGGTTTGCTGCACCTGTCAACCTGCACCTAGGTATTAGCTATTTTCCTAATGCTCTCCCTCTTTCATTTCTTTTAATCCCTGATTTTTTGAAGAATCAAGGCCAGTTGCCTCACTTCTAAATTAAGAGACTGGAGACTAGAATGCCCACATTTTGAATTTGTCTTTTTATTTTCTTATATTGTCATTTAACTTGCTCTTATTTCTTGAATTTCCTGTAAACTGGAAGTTAGGTCTAGAGACTTGATGAAATTTCAGGGTAAGCATTTTCTTTTCTTTTTTTTTTTTTTGAGACAGTGTTTTGTTCTTGTTGCCCAGGGTGGAGTGCAATGGCATAGTCATGGGTTGCTGCAACTTCCGCCTCCCAGGTTCAAGTGTTCTCTTGCCTCAGCCTCCCAAGTAGCTGGGATGATAGGAATGCACTATCAAACCTGGCTAATTTTTGTATTTTTAGTAGAGATGGGGTTTCACCATGTTGGTCAGCCTGATCTCGAACTCCTGACTACAGCCAATCCACCCATCTTGGCCTCCCGAAGTGCTTGGATTGCATTCGTGAGCCACTGCACCTGGCCAGGGTAAGCATTTTCTACCCAAACTTTCTAGAAGGCCAGGAGGGGTCAGGAAGCTCCTTGTAGACCATTGTTAAAGAAACATTCTGGGTGTGTGGAGGCAGGACACTCAGCTGTGCTGCACCCTCCTTCTGAGTCCCTTGGTCTGTGTCCATCTTGGCAGCATCCCTTCCTCGAAAGCCTGTGGGCCATTCACCAACTTCAACACCACCTGGGAGGTCATCCCCAAGACGGTGAGCACCTTCCCCAGCTCGCTGCAGTCCTTCATCCATGGCGTCACGTCAGAAGCCTTTGCAGTTCCTTTCTTCATGATTATCTGGTGAGTGAGAGAGAACCAACAGGACCCACTGAAGTAGGTGGGCTTCTCCCATTGGGAAACGGGGTGGGGGGGTTCACCCTAGACTTGACAAGTTGTTGGGCTGCTTTGAGCTGCACTTTCCCATCTCTAAAATGGGCATAATAGGCTGGGCATGGCAGCTCATGCCCGTAATCCCAATACTTTGGAGGGCTGTGAGGAGATCAATTGAGGCCAGGAGTTCAAAACCAGCCTGGGCAACATAGGGAGACCCTGACTCTACCAAAAACAGAAATAAAACCCAAAAATTAGCTTGGCATGGTGGTTACATGCCTGTAATCCCAGCTACTCAGGTAGCTGAGGCATGAGAATTGCTTGAATCTGGGAGGCTGAGGTTGCACTGAGCCAAGATCATGCCACTGGATTCCAGTCTGGGTGACAGAATGAAATCCTGTCTCATAAATAAATAAATAAATAAATAAATAAATAAATAAATAAAATGGGCATAATAATAGTCACTCTTTCAGAGGCTCATTGGGCAAATTAAGAAAGATCACACTTAGCTCAATGCCTGGCTTATAAAAAGCCAATATATATTGCCTCTTTTTAACATTACTATTTACAGAATCTCTTTCTCTTTGAAAAGGAACAGATTTCTGAGCAGAGAGATGCACACCAGATTAGAGCATGCTCTTGAACCCTGGCTCTACTCATAAGCCATGAATAACTGGAATCAATTGTACCCTGCATGTACTATCATGAAATCATCACAATTACTCTGTGATGTAGATATTCTTGTGGTAAAACATCACCATAATACAAGAAGTAGGCACAAAGAAATGTACTTGTAAGAAGGCAGAATACCGCCAGGCATGGTGGCTCATGCCTGTAATGCCAGCATTTTGGGAGGCTGAGGTGGACAGATCACCTGAGGTCAGGAGTTCGAGACCAGCCTGACCAACATGGAGAATCCCCGTCTCTACTGAAAACACAAAATTAGCCAGGCGTGATGGCCTTTAATCCTAGGCTGAGGCAGGAGAATTGCTTGAACCGAAGAGGCGGAGGTCGCAGTGAGCTGAGATCGCACCACTGCACTCCAGCCTGGGCAACAAGAGTGAAACTTCATCTCAAAAAAGAGGAAAAAAAAGGGCAGAATACCTTTGATGGGATTAATACAATGCAATGACTTGGGGGAGCTGTGCAGGTAGCCAGCCTCCAATTCGTGGATCCAGGGCTCCAGCTGCTTCACTCTAGTTGGTTTACCCCAGCATTGCTTTGGCTGGTGTCACTTGGTGGCACATCTCTGATCTGACTTAAGTATCTCCGAGACTGCCAGGAAAATACTGTGGACATCAATGATTTCAGGAGCTCCTTGTTACTTTGCCCTCATTTCATCAGCCTTATCTGGGGAGATTGGATAGGAAACCACTTTCCTTTCATTCAGTGAGGTTGCTTGCTGTTTTTATGAGAGCTTGCCCTCCATGCCATTTGTCCCTCTCCCCAAAGATAATAACTTCAACCACCCCCATTTCAGATCTGGAGCTGCACAGAGACAGGAGCCAGCTGTTGATTTTTTTTTTTTTTTTTTTGGAGATGGTGTTTTGCTATGTTACCCACTCTGGTCTTGAACTCCTGAGCACAAGTGGTTCTCCCTCCTTAGCCTCTTGTTTAGCTGGTACACTAGGCTTCTGCCACCACACCTGGCTTTGATTGCTTTTAATTAAAATATTATTGGCCAGGTGTGGTGGCTCACACCTGTAATCCTAGCACTTTGGGAGGCTGAGGCAAGTGGGTCACTTGAGGTCAGGAGTTCAAGACCAGCCTGACTAACATGGTGAAACCCTGTCTCTCCTAAAAAAAAAAAAATTAGCCAGGCATGGTGGCACATGCCTGTAATCTCAGCTACTTGCGAGGCTGAGGCAGGAGAATCACTTGAACCTGAGAGGCGGAAGTTGCAGTGAGCTGATATTGTGCCATTGCACTCCAGCCTGGGCAACAAGAGCAAAATTCCATCTCAAAATAAATAAATAAAAAATAAGGGAGATCGATCCAAGATGGCCGACCACTAACAGCTCAGGATTGTAGCTCCCAGTGAAAGCTCAGAGAACGAGACGACACCACATCTTTAGACGAATTTTCGTCACTCACCGATTAGCCGATTCCCAGTGGAGGAGCCCCACGGGTCGCCAGCGCGACTCTTGTGGCCGCCGCAGCGGTTTTGCCAGCGTCTCGGCGCAGCAGCTCTTCACGCAGAGCCAACGGGACTGCTTCCCCTACTGACCAGAGTTTGGAGCTCCGGGAAGTCAGAGCCGCTTGTTGCGGACTCAAGAGGGAAGCCAGACCAGAGATTCCCGGGCAGAAGAGCACCATCAGTCTTATCGCTGCTATTTAGGCTGCCACAGTGGGTGGCTCGGATCCCAGCACTGGGAATCAGTAAGTCGGACGTCGACTCAGAAAACTAATTAGAAAGGCGGTTCATCTATAATGAAGGGAAAAAAACAGCCTAAGAAGGCCGAGTATACTCAAAATCAGAACCCATCAGCAACGGAACAAGCCCTGATGGAAAAGGACTCATCAGTAACGGAACAAGCCCTGATGGAAAAGGACTGTGTTCCATTATCTGAAGTAGGCTTTAAAAGGTGGATGATAAGAAACTTCTGGGAGTTAAAGGAACTTGTTCTAACCCAATGTAAAGAAACTAAGAACTTGGAAAAAAGGTTCGATGAAATGTTGAAAAGAATAGACAATATAGAGAGGAATACAAATGAACTTATGGAGTTGAAAAATACAACACGAGAACTGAGTGAAATATGTACAAGCTTAAACAGCCGAATGGATCAAGCAGAAGAAAGGGTATTAGAGGTCGAAGACCAACTTAATGAAACAAAACGACAAGACAAGAATAGAGAAAAAAGGATAAAAAGGAATGAGCAAAGTCTCCAAGCAATATGGGACTATGTGAAAAGACCTAATATACGCTTGATTGGTGTACCTGAATGTGACGGAGAGAATGAAGTCAAGCTGGAAAATACTCTCCAGGACATTATCCAGGAAAATTTTCCTAATTTAGCAAAGCAGGACACTATTCAACCCCAGGCAATACAGAGAACACCACAAAGATATTCCTCAAGAAGACCAACCCCAAGGCACATAATCGTTAGATTCACCAAGATCGAACGAAGGAGAAAATATTAAGGGCAGCCAGAGAGAAAGATCAAGTTACCCATAAAGGTAAGCCTATTAGGCTTACAGCAGATCTCTCAACGGAAACCCTACAAGCTAGAAGAGAGTGGGGGCCAATATTCAATATACTTAAAGAACAAAACTTTCAGCCCAGAATTTCATATCCTGCCAATTTAAGCTTTACATTTGAAGGAAAAATAAAATCTTTTAGGAACAAGCAAGTACTCAGAGATTTTATTACCACCAGGCCTGCTTTACAAGAACTTCTAAAAGAAGCATTATACACAGAAAGGAACAACCAGTATGATCCTTTCTAAAAATACACCAAAAAGTAAAGAGCATTAACATAAAGAAGAACTTTTATCAACAAAAGGACAAAATAGCCAGTTAATATCAAATGGCAGTAACCCTAAAGTTAAATCAACCAAATCTCCCAATCAAAAGATACAGACAAAATCCAACGGTATATCCAAAGATATACATAGACTCAAAATAAAGGGTTGGAAAAAAAAAACGTACCAACCAAATGGAGAGCAAAAATAAATAAATAAAAAGCAGGAGTTGCAATTCTCACACTTAATAAAATAGATCTCAAAGCTACAAGGATGCAAGGGTAAAAGGATTAATGTAACAATAAGAGATCTTAACACCCAGATACATAAGACACATAGTGAGATTTAGATTCAACGAGACAACAAATTGATAACGATATCCAGGATTTGAACTCAGAGCCAGAACAAATAAACACAATAGAGGTCTCCATTTTAAACACATAAAATATGCATTAACCACTTTAAACACTCAAAATATTGATCGGCCATTATTGAAACCCATTTTAGGAATGAAGTAATATTCCTTTTTCCCTCTTTTTCTTTTTTTCCCCTTCTTTTTCTCTTTTTCCCTTAAAAAAAAAAAAAGCCTAGGTTACCTAATGGGGGAGGACCCCATGTTTTATTGCTCACGACTCTATCACTATCCTTAAAGATGATTTCGCTCACTGCCCTGCCCCCTAACCTATGCAAAAGAAAAAAAATAAAAATAAAAAAATAAAATAAAATAAAATGATGTTATCCAAGCTGGCAATCACTGGGTTTTATTATGTTTCCCTATTTTACAAATGAGGAAATGGGCCAGAGGGGCTCCACGGTGACATGTGGATGCAAATGTCAATTAATTATATGCCCAGCTGACTTTCTCAACCATGTCCTTCTCTCTCTTTCTGTCATTCTGTATGTACAAGGGGAACATCAGCAAATTTTTATATTAGCTTAAAAAGCAAGGCATAAATCAGATTCTGCTGCCGTTGCCAAATAAAACTTCAGTAGCTGTTTCTTACACCTTCTACTTGGAAGAGATGAGGGTTTTCTTTATTTTTTTGTAGAGACAGGGTCTGGCTCTGTTGCCCAGTCTGGAGTACAGTAGTGTGATCATAACTCACTGCAACCTTGAACTCCTGAGCTCAAACCCTCCCACCTCAGCCTTCTGAGTAGCTGGGGACTATAGGTGCATGCCACCATGCCTGACTACTTTTATATCTTCTTTTCCTTTTTTTTTTTAAGATGGAGTCTTGCTCTGTCACCCAGGCTAGAGTGCAGTGGTGCGACCTTGGCTCACTGCAACCTCCACCTCCTGGGTTCAAGTGATTCTCCTGTCTCAGCCTCCTGAGTTGCTGGGAATTACAGGCGTGCGCCACCATGCCTGGCTACTTTTTGTATTTTTTTTTTTAATAGAGATGGGGTTTCACTATGTTGGCCAGGCTGATCTGGAACTCTGGACCTTGTTATCTGCCTGCCTTGTCCTTCCAAAGTGCTGGAATTACAGACGTGAGCCACTGCACCCAGCCAATTTTTGTGTTTTTATTTTTTATTTATTTTATTTTATTTTTTTGTTTTTGAGACGGAGTTTCGCTCTTGTTACCCAGGCTGGAGTGCAATGGCGCGTTCTCGGCTCACCGCAACCTCCGCCTCCTGGGTTCAGGCAATTCTCCTGCCTCAGCCTCCTGAGTAGCTGGGATTACAGGTGCGCACCACCATGCCCAGCTAATTTTTGTATTTTTAGTAGAGTCGGGGTTTCACCATGTTGACCAGGATGGTCTGGATCTCTTGACCTCGTGATCCACCCGCCTTGGCCTCCCAAAGTGCTGGGATTACAGGCTTGAGCCCCCGCGCCTGGCCAGTTTTTGTGTTTTTAATAGAGATGGGGTTTCACCATATTGGCCAGGCTGGTCTCAAACTCCTGCCCTCAGGTGATCTGCCTGTCTTGGACTCCCAAAGTGCTGGGATTACAGGTATGAATCACTGTGCCCAGCCATATTTTATTTTTCTAGAGATGGGGCTGTCACTATGTTGCCTGGGCTGGTCTCAAACTCCTGGCCATAAGTGATTCTCCTGCCTCAGCAAAGCACTGGGATTATGAAAATGAGCCATTGTGCCCAACCTTTTTTTCTAACAAAAGTAAAACTGTTCCAAGGAAAAATATGTTGGTTTGTTTTTCTAGCGGCCTTCCAATGATCCAGACTCCCTGTGACCTGTCTGTCTTGTGTTACAGCCTCATCATGTTTTACTTCATCGCCTTAGCTGGAGCACACAAACGAGTGGTCATCCAGCTCCGAGAGCAGCTGTCCCTGGTAAGGAAGCATAGCCCCAGAGGGTCATGGTGGCAGGCATTTACCCAGGACACTGCAAGGAAAGTGGTGTTTTCCCGGGAGGGAGTAGAATTTCTGCAGCCTTCTCTCGCCACCACCTCCTCAAAACTCTGCCTTCAGGCCCAGCCCCGTCCAGCTTCATTCATTCACTGATTCATCCATTCCTTCACGATGTGTATTAAGGAGGGTGTGGTGGCTCATACCTGTAATCCCAGCACTTTGGGAGGCTGAGGAAGGTGGATCACTTGAGCTCAGGAGTTTGAGAGCAGCCTGGCCAACATGACGAAACCCCATCTTTACTAAAAATACAAAAATTAGCTTGGCATGGTGGTGGGCACCTGTGATCCCAGCTACTTGGGAGGTTGAGGCAGGAGAATCCCTTGAACTCAGGAGGTGGAGGTTGCAGTGAGCTCAGATTGCACCACTGCACTCCATCCTGGGCCGCGGAGTGAGACTCCATCTCAAAAATAAAAATAAAAGTGTATTAAGCACCTATTCTATGCCTTGGACTGTGCTTGGTGCTGGGACACTTTGATGAACAAGAGACAAACAGCTAGGTTGTTAATAAGATAAATGCTGATTAATTATAGCTTCTATGAAGATAGTTAAAAACAAGGTAGAGTGATGAGTGGGCCATCTACTACTGCAGATGTGGAGGCAGAAGGCGTCTTTGAGGAGGTGTTTTTTTTTTTTTTTTTTTTTTAATTCCAGATGGGTTCTCACTCTCTTGCCCAGGCTGGAGTACAATGATGTGTTCATAGCTCACTGCAGGCTCAAACTCTTGGGTTCAAGCCAGCCTCCCACCTTAGCCTCCAAAGTAGCTGGGACTAGTGGTGTGCATCACCATCCCTGGCTAATTTTTAAATATTTTATAGACACGAGGTCTCACTATGTTGCCCAGACTAGTCTCAAAGTCCTGGGCTCAAGTGATCGTTCCCTCTTGGCCTCCCAAAGTGCTGGGATTATAGGCATGAGCCACCGTGCCTCACCCTAGCTGAGACTTGAATAATAGAGAGAGGAGCCCATTATCAGAAGTCCTATTTAATGAAGAGAATGAGGCAAAGGGCACAGTGAGGGTATAAGCCAGGCACTTCAGAGGGACAGGCGGAAGTGTGGTGTGGCCACAGGGTGGTGAGTGATGGGAAGAGGCAAGGGGTTGTAATGGTAGCCAGAGTCATTGAGTCATAGTGCCTTGATGGCTCTGTTAAGAAGATTGAGTGGGAGGGAAGCTGCTGAAAGGTGTTAATTTTTTTTTTTTTTTGAGACAGTCTTGCTCTGTCATCCAGTCTGGAGTGCAGTGCCGTGATCTCAGCTCACTGCAACCTCTACCTCCTGGGTTCAAATGATTGACCTGCCTCAACCTCCCGAGTAGCTGGGGTTATGGGCACGTGTGACCACACCTGGCTAATTTTTGTATTTTTAGTAGAGAGTGGGTTTCACCATGATGGCTGGACTTTTTTTTTTTTTTTCTTTGAGACAGGGTCTCACTATGTCACCGAGGCTGGAGTGCAGTGGCATTATCTCAGTTCACTGCAACCTCCACCTCCAGGGTTCAAGCGATTCTCCTGCCTCAGCCTCCTGCGTAGCTGGGACTACTAGCTAGGCATGTGCCACCTTGTCTGGCTAATTTTTGTACTTTTAGTAGAAACGGGGTTTAACCATGTGTCCAGGCTGGTCTCGAACTTCTGACCTCAGGTGATCTGCCTGCCTCAGCCTCCAAAAGTGCTGGGATTACATGCATTAGCCACCATACCTGGCTGTACTGTGCATTAAAAAAAAAAAAAAAATAGTCCAGTGGTTAGAATCCTCAGCCCTGAGTATGGTGGGTAACGATGGCATTTGTTTCCAAATATATTAAATGTACTTGTGAACTTCTTATTTTTTAGGAAAGTCGTGACAAGCGCTACCTAATCCAGAAAATAACAGAAGCCCAAAGGGACATGAGGAACTAACTAGACTGAGCGTGAAGATAGCACTGCCTGTTGCTTCTATGCTGACCTAGTGACTCTGCTGAGCCTCCTGAGTCTACCTGGGTTTTCAGTGGACATTGAAAAATATATTTTTCTGGAGTTTAGGCTTTTGCATATGTGCAGTTGTGTTTACCTAACCCAGTCCCTAATTAGGGCTTTAGTAACTTAGAAAAGCAGGGGAAACCCAAGCCTTTGCCTACCGACTGGCCACTCACTGATGCCTCTACCAAAAACCAATAAGCTGTCGAGCCGCGAGTTTATGTGCACAAGTGTTTTGGGATGTGGACTCGAGCTCAGCCTGTTAATCAGACCAGCCCACTGACATTTAACAAACAGAATTGGAGGCTGGTTTCTTAAACACACATGTACACATTTTTAAGGGCTGTTCGTTTTCTTGTGCTTACAATTTTTAATGCATGTGCCTTTATTTCACAAAACATGTGACTGGGTGCGGTGGCTTATGCCTGTAATCCCAGCACTTTGGGAGGCAGGCTGATTGCCTGAGGTTGGGAGTTTGAGACCAGCCTGACCAACATGAAGAAATCCTGTCTCTATTAAAAATACAAAATTAGCTGGGCGTGGTGGTGCCTGCCTGTAATCTCAGCTATTCGGGAGGCTGAGGCAGAAGCAGAGGTTGTGGTTAGCTGAGATGGTGCCATTGCACTCAAATCTGGGTGACAAGAGCAAAACTCCATCTCAAAAAAAAAAAAATGTAGAATATCTTTTAAGATTTCCGTTATGGTAAAAACCATATGCAATAAATACCTCATTGTAAGCTTAATCAAAATGGATAGATCTGAACCTTTTAACAGAAGTTTAAGTTAGGCTGGGCGCGGTGGCTCAAGCCTGTAATCCCAGCACTTTGGGAGGCCGAGGAGGGTGGATCATGAGGTCAAGAGATCGAGACCATCCTAGTCAACATGGTGAAACCCCGTCTGTACTGAAAATACAAAAAATTAGCTGGACACGGTGGCGCGTGCCTGTAATCCCAGCTACTCAGGAGGCTGAGGCAGGAGAATTGCCTGAACCCAGGAGGCGGAGGTTGCGGTGAGCCGAGATCGTGCCATTGCACTCCAGCCTGGGTAACAAGAGCGAAACTCTGTCTCAAAAAAAAAAAAAAAAAAAAAAAGAAGTTTAAGTTATTGTTTAATGTAATCAGTTTTCATTTTAATATTGTCAAAATATTTTTCAAAGCACTGTAGTTTTGTAATGGACTTTTTGAGCCTTCCTTCCATTGTGTTTCTTCCTTTCACTGCTCCACACCTTTCCTGGGGAGTAGCCTGGAATTTAAAGCTGGGCGCAGGTTTTAGAAAGTGCTCTTAACAGTAATTTTCCCCTCCCATCTCCACTCCACTACTCAGAAATGACTGACGCCTTGCTCAGAAGAGCAAGGATTTCTCATAGTCAATTTTCTTGCTTTTCCACAATGACAGTTTTTAAAGCGGGATATTTTTGTTACTGGGAGACCAATGAGCTTTTTGGTCTTTTCCTGTCTTGTTAAGGTTTATGGGTTTCTAAATCTAATAACTGATGTCATGGAATTTTGAGTAACCAAAGATTCATTCCAATCTCACTTAAAAAAATAAATTATCCCAGGCACAGTAGCTCATGCCTGTAATTCCAGCACTTTGGGAGGCCAAGGCGGGCAGATCACTTGAAGTCAGGGGTTTGATACCAGCCTGGTCAAAGTGGCAAGACCCTGTCTTACTAAAGTACAAAAATTATCTGGGCATGCTGTTGTGTGCCTGTAATCCCAGCTAGTTGGGAGGCTGAGGCACGAGAATCACATGAACATGGGAGGCGGAGGCTGCGGTGAGTGAAATCGTGTCACTGCATTCTAGCCTGGGTGACAGAGGGAGACCCTGTCTCAAAAAAAAGATAGGTAAAAAGAAAAAGAAACAAATTGTAATAAACATTCTGCCCAGTGCTTTTATATTAATATATATAACATTCTTACCTTCGCCAGGCTTCTGAGGATATTCAAGTTTTCTATTTGTGTGTGTGTGTGATGAACACAATGAAAATGTTTTGCCATTTTCTTTCCCTATTACAAAAGTGATACTGAAATATGCTAATTAATATATTAGTTTTAGTTAAATGCTGCTAATTTGCATACATCTTACTTGAAGGTTTTTATATGTTTTGATAACTTTAATAACTTCAGGTGATGTCCGTATACTTTTTAAAGTGCAGCTTTCTCTAACAAATGTGCCTTACAACTCCTGATTAAACAGTGTCTTGAAGGTTTTAAAATGGGATTGTGTATACTGGAATTCAAGGAGGCTTCTTGTCAGCAGTCAAGTGATGATGGAAAATTGTAACCGTTTGTAAAGTTGCTCTTTGCTTTTTCCTAAAACAAGAGAGAAGAAAGTGTTTAATGTAGTCCTCAGATGAGTGCTTTTAAAGCTCTTTGGCTCTAAAAAGCACCCTCAGCAAGGTTGTATGTGTGTAACTGGCCAACTGTTTAAAGCACCCTCACCGAGGGTATATGTGTGTAACTGGCCAACTGGTTCATTTTTTCACTGTCTAGATACAGCCCATTTATCAAGACAGAGGAATTGCAACAGAGAAAGAGTTTAATTCATGCACAACTGGCTAAACAGGAAACCAGAATATTATTATTATTATTTAAATTTTATTTATTTTTTTTAGAGATGGGGTTTCACCATGTTGGCCAGGCTGGTCTTGAACTTCTGACCTCAAGCAATCCACCTGCCTCAGCCTCCCAAAGTGCTGGGATTACAGGAGTGAGCCACCATGCCCAGCCCAGAATATTATTATTACTCAAATCAGTCTCCTTGAAATTTTGGAAACTGGGTTGTGTGTGGGGGCGGGGCGGGCAGGGTGTGCTTTTGAGATGGAGTCTCACTCTGTTGCCCAGGCTGGAGTGCAACGATGCGATCTCTGCTCACTGCAACCTCCACCTCCTGGGTTCAAGCGATTCTCCTGCCTCAGCCTCCCAGGTACCTGGGACTACAGGCGTGCACCACCACGCCCGGCTAATTTTTGTATTTTTAGTAGAGATGGGATTTTGCCATGTTGGCCAGGCTCGTCTTGAACTGCTGACCTCAAGTGATCCTCCCACCTTGGCCTCCCGAAGTGCTGGAATTATAGGTGTGAACCATCATGCCTGGCTGGAAACCTTTTTTTTAATGGATAATTTGGTGGTAGGGGGACTAGGGAGTTGGGAATGTTGATTGGTTGGGTCAAAGACGAAATCATAGGGAGTTGAAGCTGTCCTCTTGCTCTGTGTCAGTTCCTGGATCGGGGCCACAAGACCAGATGAGCATTTTTCGATCTGGGTGGTACCAGGTCACCCATCAAGTGCAGGGTCTGAAAAATACCTTGAGCACTAATCTTAGGTTTTACATTGTTAATGTCACCCCTCAGAGCAACTGGGGAGATTTAGAATCTTGCAGCCTCTAGCTGCATGACTCCTAAACCATAATTTCTAATCTTGTGGCTAATTTGTTAGCCCTACAAAGGCAATCTGGTTCCCAGGCAAGAAGGGGGTTTCAGGAAAGAGCTGTTATCTTTGTTTCAAACTTAAACTGTAAGTTCTTCCCAAAGTTAGTTTGGCCTATGCTCAGGAATGAACAAGGACAGCTTAGAGGTTAGAATTCTGCAAGATGGAGGCAGGACAGATCTCTTTCAATGTCATAATTTCCTCACTGTTATAATTTTTGCAAAGGCAGTTTCATGTGTGTATTTTTTTTTTTTTTTTGAGGCAGAGACTCACTCTGTCATCCAGGCTGGAGTGCACTATGTGAGCTTGGCTTATTGCAACCTCCACCTCCAGGGTTCAAGCGATTCTTATGCCTCAGCCACCGAGCAGCTGGGACTACAGGCGTGCACCACCACACCCGGCTAACTTTTGTATTTTTAGTAGAGATGGGGTTTTGCCAGGTTGGCCAGGCTGGTCTCAAACTCCTGATCTCAAGCACCGCACCTGGCCTTGTGTGTATATTTTGAATTTATAAAATAAGCTGGGCGTGGTGGCTCATGCCTGTAATCCCAACACTTTGGGAGGTCAAGGTGGTGGGTCACCTGAGGTTGGGAGTTCGAGACCAGCCTGACCAACATGGAAAAACCTCGTCTCTACTAAAAATACAAAATTAGCTGGGTGTGGTGGCATAAACCTGTAATCCCAACTACTTGGGAAGCTGAGGCAAGAGAATCACTTGAGGCTGGGAGGCGGAGGTTGCGGTGAGCCAAGATCACACTGTTGCACTCCAGCCTGGGCAACAAGAGCGAAACTCCATTTCTTATTTTTTTGTTGTTATTTATTTAATTATTTTATCCTTTCTTATTTTTTTGTTTTTTTTTTTTATAGCAAAACTCCGTTTCAAAAATAAAATAAAAGATAAAACTACTTCAAGCACTCCCCTTCCTACACTGCTCAGAGAACTACCTATCGATATGTATGTTATTCATTCCAGAGAATGGTAATGAATATGTATTACCATTCAAGGAGATATATATGTGCAGGTGTATGTGTGAAATATGTACTTCTGGGCTTCCCTTTGCTGCTCCTTAATAACATCTTGAAGATCTTTCCATATATACAGCAACTTCATTTTTTTTAGTGGTGACGTAGCATTCCATGATATCAATGCATACTTTATAACCATTCCACAGCTAACAGATTGTTGTTACCACCTCCCCATTTACAAACACTGGAAACTGGAATTTTTAATGTCCTTGAAAACCTTTCTGCGTCTTGCCCTATTCTGCCCCAGACTCTTGTTCTCAAGGCCGCCTTGCAGGTTCTCAAAATCACAAAATATTCTTGTCCCGGCAAAGAAAAGGATCCAGTTAGGCAAGTCCCAGGGTAGCACTACCAGGTCTGACTCTTGGGAAGAGAGAACTTCTGAATGTATTTTCTTTGTATAGGGCATGACTTTATGAGTAAGTTACATTTGGTCTCTTTCTTTTCCATCGAATGGCACCTGCTTGGGATGTGGAATGTTTCTGCTTCTTGCTTTATTGTCTGATTTTGTGCAACTGTTTTCACTTCTCTGAGATAAAGGTCCTATTGATTGATTGATTGAGACAGGGTCTTGCTCTCTCACCTGGGCTGGAGTGCAGTGGCTCGATCTCAGCTCATGGCAACTTCCACCTCCTGAGTTCAAGCAATTCTCCCAACTCAGCTTCCTGAGTAGTAGGGATTACAGGAGCCTACCATCACACCCAGCTAATTTTTGTATTTTTAGTAGAGATGGGTTTTCACCATGTTGGTCACGTGATTCACCTGACTTGGCCTCCCAAAGTGCTGGGATTATGAGCGTGAGCCACTGCACCTGGCCTAGGTCTCTTATCTTTAAGTGGAAAAATAATACCTGCTACTTTTGCACCAATCAAGTAAAAAAAAAAAAAAGCATTAGTTTTTATTTTAGGGGGATGGAATTAGGAAATAGTAAACATTTTTGTTTTTGAAATTTTGTTTTGCCATTATAAAAATTATTTTTTTTAATTGAAAATACATAGAATATCAAAAGCAACAGAGAAAAAAATTTAAAAAGCACAATTTATGGGCACCCACTGTTAATCTTGACAAAATTCCTTTCAAGAGAGAAAGTACGGGCCTGTACTCAGGCCTGTAATCCAAGCACTTTGGGAGACCAAGGCAGGTGAATCACCTTAGGTCAGGAGTTCAAGACCAGCTTGGCTAACATGGTGAAACCCCGTCTCTACTAAAAATACAAAAATTAGCTGGCTGTGGTGGCGCATGCCTGTAATCTCAGCTACTTGGGAGGCTGAGGCAGAGGCAGAGGTTGCAGTGAGTTGGGATCATACCATTGTACTTGAACCTGGGTGACAAGAGTGAAACTCCATCTCAAAAAAAAAAAAAAAAGGTATGGAGGGAGGGAAGCAGGACAGAAAAAGAAGGAAATAACTTTGGTATTCTCATTCCTTTTTCACTTAATATGTGTTTTCTGGAAGAATCTAAAGATAGTGTTTTCTCCTGTTATTTAAAGCTCTTTACAACATTTCAATGGGCTATATAACATCATACAGTTGAATCTCTTTTTTTTTTTTTTTGAGCCGGAGTCTTGCTCTATTGCCCAGGCTGGAGTGCAGTGGTGCGATCAAGGCTCTGTGCAGCCTCAACCTCCTGGGTTCAAGTGATCCTCCCACCTTAGCCTCACAAGTAGGTGTGATCACAGGTACACACCACCATGCCTGGCTAATTTTTAAAATTTTTTGTAGAGAGGGGATCTCAGTATGTTTCCCAGGCTGGTCTTAAACTCCCGGGCTCAAGTGATCCTCTTGCCTCAGTTTCCCAAAGTGTTGGGATTACAGGCGTGAGCGACTGCACCCAGACATAATGTGTTGATTCAATTGCTGCTTAACATTTTGTTTGATTTTTCCCATTAACAAATAACTGGCACATCTATAAATCTTTGTCAACATTTTTTTCCTCCTTAGAAACAGACCTAGGCCAGGCACGGTGGCTGATGCCTGTAATCCCAACACTTTGGGAGGATGAGGTGGGAGGATCACTTGAGGTCAGGAGTTCGAGACCAGCCTGGTGAAATGGTGAAACCCAGTCTCAGCTGGGCATGGTGGTGCATGCCTGTAATCTAGCTACTCGGGAGGCTGAGGCATGAGAATTGCTTGAACCTGGGAGCCAGAGGTTGCAGTGAGCCGAGATCTCCCCACTGCACTCTAGCCTGCGCAACAGAGTGAAACACCATCTAAACAAACGAAAAAGAAAAAAGGAAACAGAGACCTAGAAGTGGGATTACAGCAAAGCTTTTGAACATTTTAAGGCTTTTGGGAGTGAGATTCAGACTCTCAGCAGTTTTTACATGAGAGTGCTACAACATCCTCACTAAGTATTAAGTACTTAGGTTAATCATATTTTTTTAATTTTTAATTTTAGTGACGGGGTCTCACTATGTTGCCCAGGCTGGAGTGCAGTGGCTATTCACAGGCGCGATCCCACTACTGATCAGCATGGGAGTTTTGACCTGCTCTGTTTCCAACCTGTGCCGGTTGACCCCTCCTTAGGCAACCTTGTGGTCCTCCACGCCCAGGAGGTCATCATATTGATGCTGAACTTAGTGCGGACACCCCATTGGGATAGCGCACTACCGCCCAGAACTCCTGGGCTCAAGCGATCCTCCCACCTCAGCCTCCGGAGTAGCTGGGACTGCAGGGATGCGCCACCGTGCCCGGCGGGTTCATCATAATTTTAAATTACTTTGGTGTGTCAATTTGAACACTAGAGTGATATAAAAACAATTAGAAACTTAAATTCAATAATTTTACAACTGTATTGCATCTTAAAATACTTTACAGCAAATTTGGATAAAATATATAAATAATCCAAGGGTGTAAAGTAGAAAGTGAAAGCCCACTTCTCCCAGTTCCAGCCCCCTGATGTTGCCAATGCTAAACGTTGTATATTCTTGCAGACATGCATCTTTGATTTTTGCCTTCATATACATTACTCATTTAAAAATTATTTCTGTTGAATAGAATCCTCCTAAAAGACTGCTATATTATATGATCTTTTTAAAGTATGTTGTTAAATTTCCCCTCTTCCCAAAAAATCACAATTTGCACAAATATACACGCACAGAATACAGTGCGGTTGATGCAGAAGATAATACATGTTCTCTGTAGAAAATATGGAAATAGAGGAAAGGACTGGGAAGAAGTTTAAAGTTGGCTTTCAGCCCACTTTAGAGCCCACCAATAGAGATAACACTATTAACCATGTGGCACATGTAATTTATATATACATCTAATTTATATTGAATACTTTATATGTACATAATATGTATACATAAATGTATAATTTGTATGTATAATTTATTTTTGAGACAGGGCCAGGCTAGAGTGTAGTGGCATTATAGCCTCTAACTCCTGCGCTCAAGCTATGCCCCCACCTCAGCCTCCCAAATAGCTGGGACTACAGATGTGCTCCACTACGCCCGGCTAATTTTTAAAATTATTTATGGAGGTGGAATCTCGCTGTGTTGCCCAGCCTTACTTACTATTTTAAAGTGGATGTAGGATACAAAACAAAAACAAAAACAAAAAACTCCTCCTACGTAGGTAAAGCAGAAAATACCGTGCTTGTTAATAAGTAATTTTCTTATGATTCTTTTTCCCATGAACTCGAGTGAGAAATCATAAATCGTCCTCATCTTTGAAACAGCAATTTAGCATTCTCATTCCCCCGGCAACCCAAGGCCCCTTTGCTTCCATGGTCTTCCGAGTGATTGATAGGGACCGCACCCAATAGAAACTTTTTATTTGTCGTATCTAACCAATCATATGTAAGCGCGGGCTAGAGGCGTTTCCACCGGTTACCTGGCGAGCTGCGACTTTCTTACGTCTACTGTACATCATCAGTCCGCGCCAGGGGCTCGATTGGCCCACTACGTTCAACGAAGTGGCTGCTTTGTGGTACCGGCAATGAGTTGCCCCGGGGTGGCGGCGGCTCCCTGCCTTTGGCGGCTGCGCCAGGGTGTTCAGCGGTCCCTCTCAGGTAAAGGGAGGCGCACGGTTACAGTCCTATGGCGGGCTAGCGAGCTAGGGGATTTTCTTTTGAGATTTGGGTCGAAGAGGTCACGGGGGAGAGGTTCGTAACGTCACAGGCCTGCGACGGAGCGCTACTGCGTGACTTCAGCCTGGGCGCTGGCGCGGACGGGGCGGTGCCTGTGTTTCGCTGGGAGAGTGACAGGCGGACGGGGGTGGTTTCGGCATTGACGCCTGGGGAGTGACGCAATTGCACACCTGTGCAGTGATGTCATGGCAGGTGCGGCCAGCGTTCCAAATCGAGGACAGTTGGCGACACTGAAGGTTCAGCGTCCCAGGGAGTCTCTCTCTTTGTAGTCTTTGCCCAGGGCCTGCCTTGCCAGGCAAAGTGTAGCCCGACGACAGCAGCCTCCGCTATTTCTGGGAGCTTGCTAGAAATGCGGATTCTCAGGCCCCACCCCTACCTACTTGATCGGTATCTGTGATCTGTGAACAGGACCTTTAGGTGATTTGCATGCACTGTAAACTTTGAGAGCCCTCAGTATAGTGGAAGGAGCATCGAATTTGGAGTAGAGAGATACGGTTTTGGACCCTGGTTCCTGCTTACCTTGTTTGATCTGTGCTTCCTTAGAAAATTGTCATGAGGCCGGACGCGGTGGCCCACGCCTGTAATCCCAGCAATTTGGGAGGCCGAGGCCGGAGGGTCACCTGAGATCAGGAGTTCAAGACCAGCCTGGCCAACATGGTGAAAGTACAAAAATACAAAAATTACTAAACTACAGAATACTAAAAATACAAAAATTAGCCTGGCGTGTTAGAATATGGCTGTAGTCCCAGCTGCTGGGGAGGCTGAGGCAGGAGAATTGCTTGAACCGATACTGCTCCACTGCACTCCAGCCTGGGCAACAGAGGGAGACTTCGTCTCCTAAAAAAAGAAAGACAAAGAAAATGGTCATAAGAGTGTTTTCTCAACGTTAAATCACCGTGTACTGCCTTCAGGATTTTTGCCTAATGGCAGTACTGCTTGAACTTTTTATTACTAGATGTGTTTTTTTGTATAGCCATGTCCCATTTTTAAATTAAATTGATTTCCTTGAAACGAAATCCTTATGGTGAATGGGAAGCCAGCACCACTGCCTCAAATGGATGAGTAATCATTAAAAAAACCTGAAATTGAAAAGTTATGAAATTGTAGTAAGTATTGTCTTTCTGTTAAAACGGAGAAATGAGCAAGTGTTGGGAAGGTGTTCAAGATATACCAAGTGTCTATGGAGATATCTTCCTTAATGAATGAAAAGAGATTGCAGGAGAATTTGAAAGAGTAGCCTTTACCACAGGGAGTTACTTATAGCATTTCCATAAGCCACTTACATTTCACAGGTACCTCACTGGCAGGTTTTATACACTTTGGGAAAATACAGACATAAAGTGATGTATTTGAGAGCTTCTAGCACCAAGCCTCAGTTTTATTTTAAAGCGTGTGGCAATGCAGGAGAAACTCTGAGGGTTGTTGAATGTGGATTTTAATGCTGCTCTGTTCAGGCAGTGGGCATAACAGAGTAAGCTTTATTTCTGTTTATTAAGTTACTTTGCTTCTTATGTCTTATTTTATCCTCATAACTCAGTAAGAAAATTTTATTATTGTATGTTTTCACTTAAAAAGGAAAGAGCCTGATTATTGTCTTTTTTTTTTATTTTTTATTTTTTGAGACAGTCTCGCTCTGTCACCCAGGCTGGAGTGCAGTGATGCGATCTCCACTCACTGCAACCTCTGCCTCCTGCATCACACTCCTGAGTAGCTGGGGCTGCAGGCTTGCACCACTGCACCCGGATAATTTTTGGTATTTTTAGTAGAGACAGGGTTTTGCCATGATGGCCAGGCTAGTTCGAACTCCTGACCTCAAGTGATCCTCCCTTCTTGGCCTCACAAAGTGCTGGGATTATAGGTGTGAGCCACCGCACCCAGCCAATGATAATTGCCAATTTTATATGTAAGAAATGTCAATTCTTATTTTTCCTAGGTTAGTATTAGAGATGGGACACATGTTTTCCCTTTTCTTTTCTTTCTTTCTTTCCTTCCTTCCTTCCTTCCTTCCTTCCTTCCTTCCTTCCTTCCTTCCTTCTTTCTTTCTTTCTTTTTCTTTTCTTTTCTTTTCTTTTCTTTTCTTTTCTTTTCTTTTCTTTTCTTTTCTTTTCTTTTCTTTTCTTTCCTTTTCTTTTCTTTCTTTTTCTTTCGCCAGAGTTTCACTGTGTTCCCAGACTGGAGTATAATGGCAGGATCTTGGCTCACTGCAACCTCCACCTACCAGGTTCAAGTTACTCTTCCACCTCAGCCTCCTAAGTAGCTGGGACTAAAGGTGCATGCCACGATACCTGGCTAAGTTTTGTATTTTTGGTAAAAATGGGGTTTTACCATGTGCCAGGCTGATCTCAAACTTCTAACTTCAGGTGATCCATCCTCCTCAGCCTGTCTGTAAAAGGAACATCTGGATTTTACTTCAGAGTAATGAAGAATAAACACTTGCATTTCAGCCCGTGGAGGAAGGATCGGTGTCAGATTTCGCAGTTCAGGAATGACTTTAGACAATATCAATTGGGCAGCTGTGGATCGAATAATCCGGGTGGATCATGCAGGCGAATACGGAGCAAACCGCATCTATGCCGGGCAGATGGTCGTCCTGGGTCGGACAAGCGTCGGGCCAGTCATTCAGGTGGGTATTTCCTCATCTCCCTCAGCCTGGTCTACTGAATGGGCAGATCCAAAGGCCTTCAAGTAACGAATCACAGGAGGTCATGCGTTCCCCAAGGAGATGCTGTTGTCTCCAGGAGAGCGAAAGTTGGTTCTTGGTGGAGAGATAGGGAGCAAAAAGCGTATTTTAAACAATTTATTTATTTACTTTTTAATTTATTTTTCAGACAAGGTTCGATCTCGTCCCCCAGGCTGGAGTGCAATGGCACAATCTCGGCTCACTACAACCTCTGCCTCCTGGGTTCAGGGGATTCTCCTGCCTCAGCCCGCTGAGTAGCTGGGATTACAGGCACTCACCACCCAGGCCTGGGTAATTTTTGTATTTTTAGTAGAGATGGGGTTTTACCATGTTGGCCAGGCTGGTCTCGAACTCCTGACCTCAGGTGATCTGCCTGCCTCGGCCTCCCGAAGTGCTGGGATTACAGGTGTGAGCCACTGCGCCCAGCCGCATATTGCTCTTTTTATGGATAAAGCACCGATGGACATAAGGTACATAGATAGGTATGCGGTATATCTTTGGCATCGATATTTCATGGTGGGGGCAGGCAATAATGAAAAAGTTGAGAATCGCTCAGCACAGCAGTCAACTGTGCTGAAAGATTGTAGTCCCACCCCCCACAGTGCCAGTGGAGATATTGTATCCCAAGAGGCAATGGAAGGACCTGGAATTTGTAGTTACACAGACCTAATTCACATTTTGGCTCTCTCCCACCTCCTACCTGTGTGACCTTGAGGATGTCACAGGACTTCTCTGTGTTTCCATTTCCATTTCTGCAAAATGGTCTCATGATGGCCTGGGTTTGGGTAAGGAATCAGGACTGGCCTGTAAAGGTCAAGTTAGTACAAGTTAAATGGCCTGCCCTAAATCCTTGGGCAAGCTACTTAGCCCCTCTGTGCTTCAGTGTTTTCTGTATACTGGGGCAGTAATAGTGTGTTCTTCACAGGGATTGTGTGGCTTGAATGAATTGCTGGCATAAAGCCGTGTGACAGCACCTGGCACTTAAAAAGCGCCATCTAAGTGTTGGCTGCAGCTAGAATTCTCCCTTTTTCCTTCGACATAAATAATATTCAGGGCTGGGCATGGTGGCTCATGCCTGTAATCCCAGCACTTTGGGTGGCCGAGGCTGATGAACTGTTTGAGCCCAGGAGTTTGAGACCACCCTGGGGGCCATGAAGAGACCCTGTCTCTACGAAAAATACAAAATTTAGCCGGGTGTGATGGCTTACACCTGTAATCTCAGCACTTTGGGAAACTGAGGCAGGTGGATCACCTGAGGTCAGGAGTAGGAGATCAGCCTGGCCAAGAAGGCAAAACCCTGTCTCTACTAAAAATACAAAAAAATTAGCTGGGTGTGCTGTGCATGCCTGTAGTACCTGCTACTCAGGAGGCTGAGGCAGGAAAATCACTGAACCTGGGAGGCAGAGGTTGCAGAGAGCCGAGATTGCACCACTGTACTCAAGCCTGGGCAACAGAGTGAGACTCTGTCTAAAAAAAAAAATTAGCCCGGTGTAGTGGTGTGCAACTGTAATCTCAGCTAATCTGGGAGGCTGAGATGGGAGGATCGCTTGAGTCTGGAGGTTGAAGCTGCAGTGAGCTATGAGCTTGCTACTGCACTACATTCTGGGTGACAGAGTGAGACCCTTTCTCAAAACAAAAACAACAACAAAATGATTCTATTCTAGTATTTAGAAGGAAATTACACAGCAGCTAATGTTCTGCCCTCCTGATCTTGAAATGGGTTATTTCTTATGTGTGTGGACCCTTGTCATTTAATAGACACGTGGGCCTGAGAGACTTCTGCTGGAACCGTGGCTCATGGCAGTCTTACCTGGGATTGAGATAATCGACTCTGGTTTCCTGGGCGCTCTCTTCTCTTTGTCAAAGATTCCTTTAGTCTGATGTTTTACTTTTTCCATTGACATTTTGAGGGAAATGGGGGAGACAGCAATTCCCATCATTTCCTCCATTTCTGTTTTGCTTACTGTGTACTGCGTGTATGAGTAGGAGGTCTCTATGGAATGCCTTTATTTTCATGTTTCTTGCAGAAAATGTGGGATCAAGAAAAGGACCATTTGAAAAAGTTCAGTGAGTTGATGGTTACGTTCAGGGTCCGGCCGACAGTTCTGATGCCCCTTTGGAATGTGCTGGGGTTTGCACTAGGTATGTGTCTCTATAGAAGAGCTTATGCAAGCTTGGGGATCTAGGATGATTAAATGGTTCAGATACTGTGCTCACAATTCTTGCTGTGTCTTCTTATGACCTCATTCCGTTTATTTCATATTTTTCTAAAGTTAAATCGACTGCCTTTTTTTTTGTGGCTTAAACTTATTTAAGATAGAATCTTAATGTCTTAAAAAAAAAAAAATAGGCCAGGCACAGTGGCTCACGCCTGTAATCCTCACACTTTGGGAGGCCGAGGTGGGTGTATCATGAGGTCTAGGGTTCGAGACCAGCCCAACCAACATGGTGAAACCCTGTCTCTATTAAAAATACAAAAATTAATTGGGTGTGACGGCATGTGCCTGTAATCCCATCTACGTGAGAGGCTGAGTTGGGAGAATTTCTTGAACCTGGGAAGTGGAGGTTGCAGTGAGCTGAGATCATACCACTGCACTCCAGCCTGGGTGACAGAGTGAGATTAAATCTCAGAAAAAAAAAAAAAAAAAATAGAGCCAGGGTCTCGCTGCATTGCCCAGGCTGGAGTGCAGTGGTACAGTGATAGCTCACTGCAACCTTAAACTCCTGGATTCAAGTGATCCTCCCACCTAAGCTTCTGAGCCTGAGTAGCTTGGACTACAGGCACATGCCACCACGCACAGCTCTATTTTTTTTGTAGAATTGGAGTCTCATTATGTTACCTAGGCTGATCACTGGCCTCAAGTGATCCTCCCTCTTTGCCCTCCCTAAAGTGCTTGGATTACAGTCGTGAGGCATCCCACCTGGCCTAATGTCAGTATTATAAATGGAAAATACAGTAAAAATAAACAACAGAGAAAAAAGGCTAGATAATTCAATTGTAGCCAGATACCATTCCCTGACAAAGATTCTCAACCTGAGATCTCTTCACTCTTTTAAAAAAGGGAGAAGAACAAATGGTATAAAAGATCAAAGATATGCTCACCTCAAATGCTGACTTTCTCTTAGTGGTCAGGATAAACAGCATTGAAGGGAGAATGGCTTTTTTACTGTGTAATTCCAGGTTTATCACTGGGAGCTGGTCTCTCCTAAAACAGTGGTTCTCCCTCAGGGTGAGTTTGCCCCCCTGAGGACATGTGGCAATATCTAGGGACTTTCTTTCTTTCTTTTTTTTTTTTTTTTTTTTGAGATGGAGTCTCACTGTCACCCAGGCTATAGTGCAGTGGTGCAGTCTCTGCTCACTTCAGCCTCCACCTCCCGGGTTCAAACGATTTTCCTGCCTCAGCCTCCTAGGTAGATGGGATTACAGGCACCTGCCACCACAACCAGCTAATTTTTGCATTTCTTAATAGAGACAGGGTTCACCGTGTTGGCCAGGCTGGTCTTAAACTCCTGACCTCGGTAATCCGCTCGTCTTGGCCTCCCAAAGTGCTGGGATTACAGGTGTGAGCCACCGTGCCTGGCCCTCGGGACATTTTTGTTGGTTGAAACTTAGTTGACACTGCTGGCATCTAGTTGGTAGAGGTCAGGGATGCAGTTAAATATCCTACCAAGCATGGGACAGTCCCTGTCACAAAGAATGACCCAGCCCTGATGTCAGGTGCAGAGGCTGAGAAGCCTTGACCACAGTTGATTTCCGTTACCAGTCATATCTGTCTCTTACTTTTCTGGTCTGGCTTTAACAATTCCAGGGGCGGGAACCGCCTTGCTTGGGAAGGAAGGTGCGATGGCCTGCACTGTGGCGGTGGAAGAGAGCATAGCACATCACTACAACAACCAGATCAGGACGCTGATGGAGGAGGACCCTGAAAAATATGAGGAACTTCTTCAGGTATTTGCCCATGCTCTAGAACAGGGCTGTTCAAGGAGGCAAAGGGTAGATAGCAGTTGGGTAAGAGGAAAACATTAGAGATTCTTAGGGAATGATGGGGTTTAGAGGCCCACTCAGTTTAAAGGTGAGCAAACTGAGGACCAGAGAGGTGAATCCATACAGCACAGACAGGGCTGCGGCTAGAACCTTTGTCTCCTTTGCGTTTTTTTCTTTTTATTTAGAGACAGGGTCTTGTTCTGTTGCCCAGACTAGAGTACAGTGGCACAGTTATAGCTCACTGCATCCTCAAACTCTCGGGTTCAAGTGATCCTCCTGCCTCCTGAAAAGCTGGGACTACAGGTACATGCCACCATGCCCAGCTAATTTTTTTTTTTTTTCAGAGATGGGATCTCACTATGTTTTCCAGGCTGGTCTGAAACTTCTGGGCTCAAGGGATCCTCTCTCCTTGGCCTTCCAAAGTGCTGGAGTTATAGGCACAAGCCACCACATCCAGCCAGAACCCTTGTCTCTTGAGCCCTGGCCTGTTCACTTCTTTTTTTTATTTTTAATTTTTTAAATTTTTAGTAGAGATAGAGTCTGTGTTGCCCAGGTTGGTCTTGAACTCCTGGGCTCAGGTGATCCTCCTGCCTTGGCCTCCAGTGCTGAGATTACAGGCGTGAGCCACACCACTTGGTGCTGTTCACTTCCTTTTTTTTTTTTGAGACAGAGTCTTACTCTGTTGCCTAGGCTGGAGTGCAGTGTGCAGTCTCGGCTCACTGCAGCCTCTGCCTCCCAAGTTCCAGCGATTCTGCCTCAGCCTCCTGGTAGCTAGGATTACAGGCGTGCACCACTATACCCAACTAATTTTTGTATTTTTAGTAGAGATGGGGTTTTACCATGTTGGCCAGGCTGGTCTCAAACTCCTGACCTCAGGTGATCCTCCTGCCTCAGCCTCCCAAAGTGCCGGGATCATAGGTGTGAGCTACCATGCCTGGCCCACTTCTTTAACATTGGTAGATTCTGAGCAGATAGTGTGAGCAGGAACCCTTTAGATTCAATAAATGAATTAATAGATATCCTGAGATAATTTTCCACAGCAAATAAGGGAACTGTTTAATTTTTTAGAGTCTAAATCTGAGATTGGCAAACTATGACCTGTGGCCAGCTACCTGTTTCTTTAAACTTTTTTGTTTTTTGAGACAAAAACTCCAGTCGCCAGGCTGGAGTGCAGTGACACGATCTTGGCTCACGACAACCTCCGCCTCCCGGGTTCAAGCGATTCTCCTGCCTCAGCCTCCTGAGTAGCTGGGATTACAGGCACGCACCACCACACCCAGCTAATTTTTGTATTTTTAGTAGAGACAGGGTTTAACCATGTTGGCCAGGATGGTCTCGATCTCTTGACCTTGTGATCTGCCCATCTCAGCCTTCCAAAGTGCTGGGATTACCGGCGTGAGTCACCATGCCTAGCCTTTAAGTAAACTTTTATTGTAACACAAGCACACTCATTTGTTTGCATATCTCTGGCTATTCTTCCGGGGCCATGGTGGCAGAGTTGGGTTGCTGGGACAAAGTATTTACTCTCTGACCCTTTATAGGAAAAGCTGGCCTCCCCATCTTAGGCTATTCTAAGAGGCTTTAGCCTTCAAAATGAAATGGAACAGGAGAGTTGGAAGGCTAACTTGTTGTCTTTTTATTTAACCAGGTGATTAAGAAATTTCGAGATGAAGAGCTTGAGCACCATGACATAGGCCTTGACAACGATGCAGAATTGGTAGGGCCCTATTGTTACCTGTTCCGCTTTGGGGCTCCTTGTTGGGGAGGGAGTCTGAGGGGGCAGGAGGTTTCTGTTCCCAGAAAAATAAATTTTAAGCGACAGCCCAAGGGAGAGAAAACCAATGACGTTGCTTTAGAAAAAGCAAGCAAACGTATTATTGCTCCTGATTGAGAATCTCTTGTCTTGCTTTATCCCTTTTCCTTTTCCCCAGGAGCTTTTTTTTTTTCTTTTTTTTGAGACAGAGTTTTGCTTGGTCATCATGCTGGAGTGCAGTGGTGTGATCTTGGTTCACTTTAGCCTCTGCTTTCTGGGTTCAAGCAATTCTCTTGCCTCAGCCTCCTGAGTAGCTGGGATTAGAGGTGCACAGCACCACGCCTGGCTAATTCTTGTATTTTTTATTTTTAGTAGAGATGGAGTTTTCGCCATGTTGGCCAGGCTGGTCTTAAACTCCTGACGTCAGGTGATCTGCCTGCTGTGGCCTCCCAGGAGCTGCTTTTCGTTTCCTGTGAGAATCTGGATGATTCCAACGCTTTGGCAGTAGTAGAGGCATTCTGACATTTTGAATAGCTTTCTTTGAAACTAAAATAAATTATTTTATTTAAATTAAATTAAATTAAATAATTTAAAATAAATTATTTTATTTAAATTAAATTAAATAATTTAAAATAAATTATTTCCCATACAGAGAAATCAAAACCCTGGCCTGCCAGCCCTGAATCTTACAATTGAAAATGAACACATAACATGTTTCTTTGTTTGCTTATTGTTTTTAACAGGCTCCAGCATATGCCATCCTGAAGAGCGTTATCCAGGCCGGCTGCAAAGCAGCGATATATTTATCAGAAAGATTGTAAAGTGTGTCCAGCTATGCCTGTCTATAAAAGATGATAATTTACCAAGTGTCATTTGCAGAGAAACAAGTGTACAGGTATCACTGTGCTTTTTTTTTTTCTTAACATAACATGGAGTATGAATCACTGTACTTTTGTACAGTGTGAATTTTGTTAATAAATTATAAGGTTTCTTTTCTTTTTTTAAATCAATAAAACTCTCCAGTGTTGATTTTTCTCTGTGTTGTTTTTTGCCATGAGACTGACAGGTCACCAGCCTTGTTCAGATTACAGCAAACGAAGCTGGGCCTTGTGCAGTCTCATACTTAATTTTTGTTATATATATATGTTTTTCTTTTACATACATGTATATATATATATATATATTTTTGGAGACAGGGTCTCACTCTTTCCAGTCTGGGTCACAACTCACTGCAGCCTCGAACTCCCAGCCTCAAGCAATCCCCTCACCTCAGCCTTTCAAATAGCTGGGACTATAGGTGTGCACTACCATACCTGGCTAATTTTTTCTATTTTTTTGTAGAGGCAAAATCTCACTATGTTGCCAGGCTGGTCTCTAATTCCTGGGTTCAGCAGTCCTCCCGTTTCCACCTCCCAAAGTGCCAGGATTACAGGCATGAGCAACTTCACCAGGCTAATTTTCTCCTGAAACGTCAAGGACAAATCATTAGTAATGTAACAGGAATCTTTAGGAGAAAAAACAGTTTGGTTTACTGATAACAAAAGGTAATTGGAAACATGAGAGTATTTAAGATTCACCAAGCAGAACTGTGAAGTCCATCAGGTAAGTCAAAGATCATCGTCATTTCTGTTTTCAGTTGTGGGTGATATGGGTGGGAGAGTACTACAGTCTGAATGTTTGTGTCTCCCCAGAATTCATTTGATGAAATCTTCACCCTCAAGTTGATAGAAGGTGGGGCCTTTGGGAAATATAAGATCATGAGGGTGGAGCCCTCATGAATGAGATTAGTGCCTTATGAAAGGCACCAGAGAGATTCCTCATCCTCTCCACGGTGTGAGACTTTAAGGGGCGTGGTCTCTGAGAAAGTGGACTCTTCACAAGCACAAATCAACAAGCACTTTGATCATGGACTTCCCAACCTCTAGGACTGTGAGCAATAAATGTTTGATGTTTATAAGCCACCCAGATTGTGACACCCTGAACAGGCTAAGATGGGGTGTTGCTTCCATCAAAGAATATACTAACTTGTGGATTATTTGTGAAATTGAATTATAATAATTTCCTTAAGGTCTTTTACTGCTCCTTTCCCCACACACAAAAAAAACCAAAACTGATTCAAAATGTCATACTTTAATGAAACATTTTATAATTTGCAAATTTTTAAGTAATTCATGAAAAACCTAGACCAGTGGATCTCCTCTCTAGCTGCTCATTAGAATGTCCTGTGGAGTTTAAATTTTTTATGTTTGTGGATCAAGAGTTCTGACTTGTTTAGGGTGGGGTTCAGGATCAGGTGGTTTCTGAAGCTCCCAGGTGATTCTGCTGCGAGATGGGGCTGTGAGTCCCTGAGCTAGGTTATAAGATGCTTCTGGGAAAGAACCATATTTTAGGAATTTGCCTTCCAACCAGTGCCCTACGTTTAATCAGCACCTGATGAGCCCCACCACAGTCTGGCTTTGAAGGGCAGTGGATGCCAGGATCATTTTGATTAATCTTCTGCCACCTCTTTCTTTCCTCAACCAAGAGTGAATTTAATATTATTTAATTGAAAGTCTACAAGTCATAATTGTAATAAATTAAGGCCAGGCATTTGTTTTAAGTTAGGTAAGATAAAGCCAAAGATTTGAACAAGTTGTAGATGGTTTGTAAAAATTAATCTTGTAAAATAAATTCTCTGTGAACATATTTATTAAATTCAAAAGGATATTTGGTTTTTCTGTAAATTGAACCTTGGAATAAATGCACAACAAGGTTTTCTTAAAGCACTGATCTGCTCTTTTACAAGAATTTGTAAAGGGTTATAAAAGGCTTATAAGAATCTCACCTCATGGTCAAACTGGTTAAGATTGGATGGATTTATCTATACGGTTTTATTAAAAATTGGGGATGATGTTAATAGTAGACTGATGCAAGGGTGAAATCTGACTCTCTTGAACAAGATTTTCATGTAATAGTGAAGGATAATGAAAGATTTTTGTTTGCCTTGCCAATAAACTACCAAAAGAAGGGAAAGGAAAGAGACAAATTGTTAGGAAAGTTGTCTTCCCTCTTACTGAGTATAGGTTGTGTGCCTTTTAAAAAAGTTTTTGAGTTATCATTTTGTCTAATGGTAACCTGTAATTCTGTTTTAATAATAGCAAGTGTTTTAAACCTTTAACATGTTTGGTAGCCTTCCCCAAATCAAATTTTAGCTTCAAGGTTGTCTTTTTTGACCCCTAACTTTTGGATGCTGCAGAAGTCCCCTAAATTATTTGACATGTTTAATTACATGGAATTGCCAAAATTAAAATAATGTTTAATTTTCTTCAGGTTAGATTTTAGTGAATAACATTAATATGTGTTCCAAAATTGTATGAGATTTCTAAAATTATACTGAGTATATGTTATCAATCATAATTAGGTTTATTAAGTTATTGTAAACCACAGAAATAACCAAATTTGTCAATTGTGTTTTCGACTGTGACTACCCGAAGACATTCTTTGCATTCACAGACAATTGTAGTCTTGTTTTGATTCTCTTCAAAGGATGGTTTTTAATCAGCTATCGAACTTTGACAGGTGCTCTTAAATGCAGGTTTCTGATATCTTTGGAGATCGTGATATTAGGATAAAGGAAAAACATTCAGCACGCATGACTAGCTGAAATATTCCTGAATATCAAGCAGAACAAGAGTTAACTGGGCTGAACTAATAGAAAACAAGTAATCTGTTTAACTTTTTGCTTAACCCATTGCTCATCTATTTTTCAGTGTCAAGAAAACTTTTATTTTGAGCTATTTATAGCTTTTAACAATTGAGTAAGGTATACTCCTGTGAACCAAATTTGGAGCATATTTCTTTCTGCTGATTTCTCTAGAATTTGGAAACTATTTGTGAGTATTCTTATGGCCATGTAGTTATTTGCATCAGTGCAACAAGAATCCATTTTCTTTTGCAACAGGACACAATTGGAAAAATTGTTTTACCAGTTTCTGATAGAAGGGTGTGCTTCTCTTTAAGGAATCAAGCTTGACTTGCAGAGCCAAAAAAAAAAAAAAAAAACAAACTTCTTGGAAAAATTGGCCTCATAACTTCATCTACACAGTCCTTGTACAGGGCTCCTAACCTGTGATGAGTAAAGAATGTCACTTTCTAACAGGCCCAAGAGCCCCAAGTTATCTTGGGACCTCAAAAAGAGAGAAATGTACTCAACTCAATAGGTATTTGAAGGTTCAAACCCATTACTGGGCTTGGCTTTGAAAAGTCTTTCCTGAGATTCCTTATGGAACAGGATTCCGTCAGAGCCAGTTTTAAAAGCATATGTGAAAAATAATTATTCCTGCTGCACTTTATGCAAATAATCAGGCCACGTATAAGACTAAAATTTATTTTGCAAACAACTCAGTCTTATCACAATTTAGCAAAAATGAGGACTGGAGAGAGAAAAATTAGGATTTAAAACTCATCAGACATGTCATTAAATTCTAGTCTCATTAGTTTTTGTTTGTATTTTAGACTAACCGTGCTTATTCCTGTGAACCAACCAGTGATCTCTGGCTGCAGCTCAGAAGAAACAAAAGGGATGGGTAATATAAAAATCTGAATCAGTATTCTAGTTCTGGGCAGCTATCCTGCAAATCCTGCCAGATGACAGGGGAAAAAGGGGTGCCCATAACCTGGAGTTTTCTTTGGGAAAATAAGACCAGGGGAGCTAACCAAAGCCCCACCCCATGCACCCCAATTTTAGCAAAGAAACCTATAGCCACAAGTTATCTGGGCGTGTTGGCAGCCTCAGGATTTTTGAGCTGTCCTTACTCCCTTGTTTCATTTTGATACATGTCTTCTAATAGCCTAGTTTGTCTCTTTTACCTAGAGGTCATCAAACTCCAAATGGTCATGCAGTTGGAATCTTAAGAAGATGGCCTCTTTTACCTGGGACCCTTAGATAGGCCTCTGAGTGAGCTCTGACTGCTGTTTTCCCAAAACAGCGCCCCCTGTCAGCAGGGAGCAGTTAAGAGTGATCATTGTCCTTATCCTAATGGCAGTAGGATGTACCTCTTGAGAGGGGAGAATGATAGCAACAGGAGGCAGTCAAATGCCCAGGAAGATAGGGATGGGTCCCTGGTGAATCCTGACCTTCAAACCAAAGACAGTTTAAAGCCTGAAAGCCAAGCTACAAGTCTGGTAAATCCACAGACTGGACTGAGAACCTGTCTTCCTGTTTGGTGTGACTGATCTCCACCCTTCCTTAATTGTTTTTCTACACTGTTGTGCCCAACTTTGAGTGGTGCCTTTGTTTTTTACCCTTTTTTGCATACTCAGAAACCAGTCAGCATGCACTCCCCCATTCTAAGCCCATAAAAGCCCTGGACCCAGCCACACTGGGGGAGAGACCACCCTTGTGTCCCCTGTCTGCTGAGAGCTGTTCCATCAGTCAGTGAAATTCTTCTTTGCCCTCCTCACTTTTCGATTGTCAGCATAACCTCATCCTTCTTGGATGTGGGATAAGAACTTGGGAACCGCCAAATACAGGTACAAGTTGTAATACAGTCGGGCTGGGGCACACCTGGCCCAGCCACAGGCTGAGCCCATGTGCAAGTCAGGTGCGGCCAGTGCACCGCGTGGGTGGGGCGCCTCCCTGCGGCAAGTCTGGGGCCGAGTGAGGTCTGGGCTGGGGGGCATCACCATTGTGGAGTTCCCCGGTTGGCATAGTGGCTGAGAAAAATCCTGCATAAAAACCTTGCTGATAGGAATGAAAAATAGTATAGCCATTTCAGGAAACTGTCTGGTAGTTCCTTAGTTAAACATAACATAGGATACAGCAACTCCTTCTTTGAGTGTTAACCCAATAGAAATGAAAACATAGCCATGTGTGGTAGCTCACACCTGCAATCCCAGCACTTTGGGAGGCTGAGGCAGGTGGATCACTTGAGTCCAGGAGGTTGAGACCAGCCTGGCCAACATAGCAAAACCTCTTAGCCAGGTGTGGTGGTGGGCTCCTGTTGTCCCAACTGCTTGGGAGGCTGAGGTTGAAGGACTGCTTGGGCCCAGGTGGTAAAGCTGCAGAGAGCCAGGATCGCACCACTGCACTCTAGCCTGGGTGAGAGGGAGACCCTGTCTCTAAAAAAAGAAAACATGTTCAAACCAATACTTGTACATGAATGTTCATAACAACTAAAAGTAGAAACAACTCATGTCCATCACCTGATGGACAAAAATGTGATACACCCAAACAAGGCAGTCTTACTCAGCTATTAAGTAAAGTAGTGATACATGATAACAACATGGATGAGCCTTAAAAACATCACACTTGGGTCCAGAGGTTCAATATGGGAAGATGAAAATAGTTCTGGAAATGGATGGTGTTGATTGTTGAATGTCCTTATTGTCAGATAAATGTACTCTTAAAAATGGTTAACATGGGGGCCAGGCACAGTGGCTCATGCCTGCCATCCCAGCGCTTTGGGAGGCCAAGGTAGAAGGATCGCTTGAATCCAGGAGTTCGAGGCTGCAGTGAGCCAGGAGAGCACCAATACATTCTAGCCTGAACGACTTTTTGTCTCTGAGGAAAAAAGATAAAGGTTAAAATAGCAAATTTTATATTATGTATATTTTACCACAGTTTAAAAAAAAATTATGCAAAGTGAAAGAAGCCAGACATGAAAGGTCAAATATTGTATTATTCCACTTACATGAAGTGTCCAGGATAGGCAAATCCATAGAAACAAGGTAGATTAGTGGTCATCTGGGGCTGGTGGGTTAGGGAGGGGCAGAAATGGGGAGTAACTGCTAATGGATACAGAGATTCTTTTTTGGGGGGGTGATAAAAATGTTCTAGAATCAACGGTGATAGTCGCACAACCTATACTTAAATTTACTGGATCATATACCTTAAAATTGTAAATTGTATGACATGTAAATTGTCTTAGTCTGTTTTGTGTTCCTGTAACAAAATACCCAAGACTGGGTAATTTATAAAGAAAAGAGATTTATGGCCAGGGGTGGTGGATCATGCCTGTAATCTCAGCACTTTGGGAGGCCAAAGTGGGCAGATCACAAGGTCAGGAGTGATCAACGTGGTGAAACCCTGTCTTTACTAACAATACAAAAATTAGCCGGGAGTGGTGGCGGGTGCCTGTAATCCCAGCTACTCAGGAGGCAGAAGAATCACTTGAACCCAGGAGGCAGGGGTTGCAGTGAGCCAAGATTACACCATTGTACTCTGGCCCGGGTGACAGAGTGAGACTCCATCTCAAAAAAAAAAAAGTTGCCAGGCACGGTGGCTCAAGCCTGTAATCCCAGCAATATGGGAGGTGGAGGTGGGCAGATCACCTGAGGTCGGGAATTCAAGACCAGCCTGACCAACATGGAGAAACCCCCATTTCTACCAAAAGTACAAAATTAGCCGGGCATGGTGGTACATGCCTGTAATCCCAGCTACCGGGAAGGCTGAGGTAGGAGAATCACTTGAATCCCGAAGGTGGAGATTGCACTGAGCAAGATAGCAACAATGCACTCCAGCCTGGGCAACAAGAGGGAAACTGCCTCAAAAAAAAAACTTGTCTCACAGTTCTGGTGGTTGGACTTTCCAGGATTGGGCAGCTGTATCTGGTGAAGGCCTCCTGCTGCTTCCACCCATGGTGGAAAGTGGAAGGGTAGTGGGCATGTCAAAGAGATTGGAGATTGTACGGTGAGACAGGATGCAAAAGAGTCAAACCGAGGAAGCCAGACACTTTTTAACAACACTCTCTTACAAATTCACCCATTCCCAAGAGTGTGAGAACTTGCTAGCCCAGCAGGAGAAGTTCTTCATAAGGGATCCGCCTCCAACATCCAAACACCTCCCACTATGCCCACCTCCCAATGCTGCCACGTTGGGGATCAAATTTCAACATGAGGTTTGGTTGGGACAAACCACATCCAAACTGTAGCACAGACCAAACCAATAGGAAAAATACAGGTGATTTAGTTTAGTTTTTTTCCCCCAGGCTATTTAGTTTTATGCAAATTTCAATCCTGGCTGTTAAATGAGAAAACAATTTTGTTTTTGGAGACAGAGTCTCGCTCTGTCGCCAGGTGCCAGGCTGGAGTGCAGTGGCACAAGCTTGGCTCACTGCAACCTCCGCCTCCCAGGTTCAAGCAATGCACCTGCCTCAGCCTCCCAAGTAGCTGGGACTACAGGCATGGACCACCACGCCCAGCAAATTTTTTTTTTTTTTTTCTTTAGTAGAGACGGGGTTTCACCATGTTGGCCAGGATGGTCTTGATCTCTTGACCTCGTGATCCACCTGCCTCAGCCTCCCAAAGTGCTGGGATTACAGGCGTGAGCCACCGCACCCAGCGAGAAAACGATTTTTCCCAGTGACTACCCTTCAAGCCAGCAGAGCGTGAAGTTTTCATCTTCTGAGACTCAGGTGCTATTTCTTGCCCTCCCATATCAAGGCTAATTTTATAAGTACTGCAGCTGGGAGTCTTAGTTCCATAAAGCACTTTGTGTGATTCTTACTAAAAACCAGGCTGTTGTTTAGCCTCCCCTTCTGAATTGACAGCTGAGAGCTTCCAGAACAAGGCCAGAGAGATTTTCTGAATCTCCCTATGATTGTTTTTAATTCCATTACAGCTTGTCCTCATGTATTAACAAGGTAATCTTGTCTTTCTCTTACTTTTCTGATCTGACCTTTCAGGGAAAATGTGATTTTAAAATTGGACATGAGCCAAAGATGATGGCAGGATGAGAAAGGATATTATTCTTGCAAGCACTGTAGTTCCAAAGAGGTGATCTGAGCTACAGTTCTTTGCAAAGTATGTGTGACTCATGGACCAGTAGCAGTGGTATCACGTGGGAGCATGTTAGAAATGCAGAATTTAGGCATCTCTCCAGACCTACTCAGTCAGAATTTGCATTTTAGCAAGATGCGGTGGTTTTAAAGTATGTCCACAAATTCCTTGATACACCTATGTTTGGTGGAGCTGACTTCCCTTTGCCTTGCCTGTGGTTCTCAGTGACTTCTGACAAACAGATCATAGTGGAAATGAAGTGTGACGTCCAAAGTGAGGTCATAAAAGACACTAAAGGTTGGGTGTGGTGGCTTACCCCTGTAATCCCAGTACTTCAGGAGGCCAAGGCAGGAGGTTTGCTTGAGGCCAGGAGTTCAAGACCATCCTGGGCAATATAGCAAAACCCTGTCTCTACAAAAATAATCGTAATAAAAAATTGAAAATAAAAAATTAACTGGGCATTGGTGGCATGTACCTGCAGTCTTAGGAGCCTGAGGTGGGAGGATCACTTGAGCCCAGGAGTTAGAGGCTGCACTAAGCTATGATCATACCTCTGCACTCCAGCCTGGATGACAGAGCCAGATTCTGTTCAAAACACAAAACAAAACAAAAAAGACACTGCAGCTTCCATCTTTCCTCCTAGGATTACTCACTCTGGGGGAAGCTAGCTGCCATGTTATGAGGATACTCAAGCACTTAATCTGTGGAGAAGCTCCCATGGCCAAGAACTGAGGTCTCTTGCCAATAGCCTTGGGAGTACACTATCTTGCAAGTGAATCCTTTGGTTCCAATTCTGCCTTCAGATGACTGCAGCCCCCAACATGTGGACTCCAACCTCCTGAGCGACCCCAAGCCAGAATCACCCAGCTAAGTCACTCCTGAATTACTTACTGAACCTCAGCAACTATTTTACATATATGTTGTTTCCAGCTGCTGAGTGTTGGGGTCATTTGTTACGCAGCAACAGATAACCAATACAACAGCTCTAGTTGAGGTGGAAGCACATTAAAGTGTGAGATGCACTGAGCCAGACCATTAACTCCTGAAGGCAGACACCAACTTGGTCATTTCCATGTCTTCAGGGCTTAGCAGAGTACCTGACGTGCCATACATTTTTATTGAACTAAAGATTCAATTGCCCTGTTTTTTAAAAAATTAAAACTTTTAAAATAGTAAATAATGGATGTATGCACATGGGAAAATATTCCAGCAGTGCTAAAGGGTGTTTATAGTGATAAGTAAATCTCCCTGTAGACTGTTGATTAACAGCAAACTCTGTGACCAATTTCCTTCCTTTGAGATAAGCTAGTAGCAACCTGCCATTAAGGGCATTTTTTCCTTTTTTTCCCCCACCTCCAAAAGTAATAACTGGCCTCAAAATATAATATAAACTGCATGTAAGTAGAAAAAAAAAAGGAGAGAAAAAGAAACAAAAAAAGCTCTTCTTCCAAACGTTCCCTAGAAGGGACCACTATGAATAATTCAACGTACATCTTTCCAGATGGCTTTTAGAAATCTTTTATCCACGTACATGTTTGGGTTTGTATTGTTCCCCAAGTGGAATATTATGCATTTGATCTGCAATTTGTGCATTTCACCCGGTGATCTACACTGGCCATCGTCCCAAGTAAATTCAGAGCTCCACCTCGTTCCTTCAATTGGCTGCCACTCTTCCACGGCAACCACTGCTGACCTGATCCAGCTCCTACCCCAGCCCAGTCCTGTGCTAGAACCTCCTTGATCTGGTTCTGGAGGCTGCAGACTTAACCACTAAGCCACTCTTCCTCCACTTAATCTCTTTTTGTCTATTGGTGGACATCTGGGTTGCCTTCTTTCCACCCCCCCCCAGACCGGGCCTCCCTCTGTCGTCCAGGTTGGAGGGCAGTGGGGTGATCATACCTCACTGCAGCCTCAACTCCCAGGCTCAAGCGATCCTCCGGCCTCAGCCTCCCAAGTAGTTAAGATTATGGGCATGAGCCACAGTGCCTAGCCTGGGTTACTTCTAACAGGCTTTTGGGGTCCCGTAATGCTTAGGAGGACCATCTTTCAGGAGGAGGGACCCCTGGGAAGGAAGTGTAAGCTTAAGGTTTTAACCCTTTTGGAGATCCCATACCTCTGATAATTTAATAAAAACGCGGGACCCTCATTAAGGTCCTCCTTGAGATCCCTTGATCCAGGTAACTCGAGGCCAAAAAACCACCTTTCCCAACTCAGGGAAACCAAAGACACCTTTCAAAGCGGAGATTCAGCCTCAACACCGCTCACGTCTGGCTTCTGTGGGTTCCTGAGAAGCATCCCGGAGCGCAGAGCACTTTCCCATCTTCTGTGTTCAGAGCTTGAAAAGGCGCCTCTGGCCCCCGGGACGTGTGTCCTCCCACTCCTGCCTCTGAAACTGCAGCCCTGCGGGGCTGAGCCCAAACACGACAGATCCTTTGATCTTGGATCGCACAGGGAGATCGGCTCCCGGACGCGCCAAGGGCAAGGAAGGTCTCGGGCCCGTGACGCCCGCCTGTGTCCAGCAGAGGGCGCCCGCGCCCCAGTGCGAGCCCCGCCAGGCTCCGTTGCAAGGTCGGCTGGACAACGCCCGGCGGCAGGGCCGGGTCATTGCTGGCCCCAGTCATCCCGCCCCGCGATGTCCGCTGTTGAACAGGAACTGAGGTCGCGTGTGTGCACAACCAGAGGCGGAGGGCTCGGCTGGCTGTTCCACTCTGTGCTGTCCTCCTGTCTCGGGTGTCCTATCCCGGTGGACACATTTTTTTTTTTTCCAGAAAAGGGAAACAGGAAAACAGGGGGGCGATTAGTCTCTATCTAAGGGAGCCACGTGAAAAAAAACCCAGCTTCAGGAATCAAACAACACCCAAGGGGCTGCAATGATTTCTTTCTTTTTAAGAGACAGGGTCTTGCTTTGTCGCTCATGCTAACCATACTGCAGCCTCGAACTCCTAGGATCAAGCGATTCTTCCTCCTCAGCCACCTAATGTGCTGGGGTTTCAGGTGTGAGCCACCATGCCCATCCAATTTTTATTTTTATTTTGAGTGAAGTCTCACTATGCTGCCCAGGCTGGTCTCGAACTTCCTGGCCTCAAGCCATCCTGCCTCAGCTTCCCAAAGTTTTTTTTTTTTTTTTTTTTTTTTTTGAGAATTTCTCTTCATGATACTTTCTTCCCTCCACTTAAAAAAATTCCAATTATATTTCCAAAA